ATGAAGCTGTGAAGATGAATGGAGAATGACTAGAGCATGTGGATTTGAATCGGCGAGGAATGAATGATCGAGAAGGCCAGCTGTGAATGGTACCCTGTTTGACTGTCAAAGCCAGCTGTGAATATGTCAACGTCTATTGTCCGAATGCTGTAAGTGGATTCACCTGTGATTTGTGTATTGAACTAACGTGTCAATAAACTCGTGAAATGTGCCGCTGGTGTTAACCGTTGTTAGACGTTGTGTGACCATGAAGAGGATCATGTCTGCGTTGATTGAGTTGTGAACCTCTAGGCATTAGAGCCAGTGTTAACTCTGCACCACAGATAGTCAGTGTGGAGGAGACACAAAAGGGCAGTCATTACAATTATCATGTTATGGTGTCATTCCTATGGGACGTGGACGGGTAGGGATGGCGCCGGGCCCTCAGCCTCGAGGGGGCCCACCCCAAGCTACTAGAGCCACAACCTCTGAATTTTCTGGAGTGACCAGGGAAGAACAGAGTAATGCAACTGGACACAAACTGACAATTATGCACTGGAATGCTGAGGGAGTGAGGCTGAAGAAAACTGAATTACACAATTTCTTGAAGCAGCACGATATCGACATATGCTGCATCCAAGAGACTCACCTCACAAGTGCACACAGATTCTCTATCAGGGGATACCAAATCTTCCGACACGACAGGTTAGATCGTCCAAAAGGAGGAGTCTTGACTGCTGTCAAGAACACGATCACAGCTTGGGAAACCCAGAGATCTCAGTGTGGGGATACAGAGTTTATCACAGTCACTATTAAGGGTGCAAGGGAAGATGTGACAGTATGCAACATCTACTCACCACCAAACAGAGATATTAATCTGGGACCCATCCTACTAAACACAGAAAACTGGATTGCTGTCGGAGATCTAAATAGCCACTCACCTAGCTGGGGCTACACAGACCTCAATGCGAAAGGAGAAGAGGTAGAAAAACTGGATAATCAGCAACACTCTAGTTCTGATAAATCATCGTGACGACCCAGACACATTCTACTCTCGAGCTTGGAGGAAAACCAGCACTCCAGACTTGGCTATAGCAACTGAAGATGTGGAGAAAGTTACCAGCCGGGATGTATGTCAACAGCTGGGAGGCAGTGACCACAGGCCCGTAATCCTGTCTATTAACAAAAGTAGAGAGGTTACTAAAGAAACGAACCCTCCAAGATGGAACTACAAGAAGGCTAACTGGAGCCTTTTCTTCAGAAGACTGGAAATAAATGCCAAACTGAAGATCCTCAACACAACTATTCTAAATGCAGCCAAGGGTAACATACCACGAGGCCGCAGGAAAAAACTTTAAACCTTTCTGGTCGCCTGAACTGGACACTCTGCATTCCAAACTTAGTACCAGGAGGGAAAATATGGAGAAGGATCCAACAGATAAAAATGTAATACTTCATAACAGAGCAAAAGCAGCCTTCATCAGAGAGAGAAATAATCAGATGAGGGAAAGCTGGCACAAAAAGACAGCGTCATTTAACCTCGAGAAGGACACTTCACGTCTGTGGAATCTCACAAAAAGCTTGAATGGAGACAAGACGGAAAAAGCCAGAGTTGTACTCCAAACAGACGATGGATCGTTTACTGGCAAGGTAGCAGCAGATGTGCTAGCCGAAACACACCAGAAGGAAACTGAGGTTCATATTCCCATGCAAAGAATAAAAGAAGTACGAAACCAGACCAAGACTCTTCTAGCAGACTTTAGCACAAAAACAAAAGAGGCCTGCATGTCAGAAAGGTTTACCATGCAAGAGCTGGAAGTTGGAATTGGAGAGTTGAAAATGAAGAAAGCCCCAGGGGCTGACGGCATTACAAACGAATTTCTCTCTCATCTTGGACCTGCTGCCAAGAAGTTTCTCCTCTGCATCTACAACCAGAGCTGGCAAAAAGGGGTAGTACCGTCAGCCTGGAAGGAAGCCCTCATCCAGCCTATCCTTAAAAAGGGTGGAGACAGAAGAGACCCAAAAAGCTACAGACCTATTAGCCTTCTTAGTTGTGTAGGAAAATTGATGGAGAAATTAGTAAATAAAAGACTAATATGGTTCCTGGAGACAAACTCAGTAATCACAACCACCCAGACAGGATACAGACAGCACAGAAATACAGAGGACCAGTTGACATATCTGACACAGGAAATTGAGAATGCCTTCCAGGAAAAAAAAAGAAAGTTCTTGCTGTCTTTTTTTTACCTCTCTCCTGCTTTTGATACAGTTTGGAAAGAAGGCCTACAACTAAAACTGCTACAGGCAGGAGTTGTGCACAACATGTACAAGTGGATCAAAGACTTTCTTTTCCAAAGCAGAGCCTGATTCAGAATTGATGGACACATCGGCAAACTGGCAAAACTAAGAGAAGGAGTTCCCCAGGACAGTGCTATATCACCAACTCTGTTCCTAGTTTACATTAATGATATCACAGCAACCTGCCACCAGCACGTTTCTAATACCCTACATGCCGATGACTTTGCAGTTTGGACAGCCTCCGAATACACTACCACAGCCTCATATCTGTTACAAAAAACTGTGGAAAATGTAGAAGCCTGGACCGAAAAGTGGGGTCTAAAGCTAAATAAATCAAAAAGCACAGCATCACTTTTCTCTCTCTCCCCAAAAAAAGAAAAAATCGAAATTTTGATTAAAAACCAGCTCATTCCACAGACTGACACTCCTACCTTTCTGGGCGTTACACTTGATTCGCGACTAACTTGGAAGTCACATGTAGAAGCAGTACAGGGAAAAGCATTCAAGAAGCTTGCAGTTATGAAAAAATTAGCGGGTACCACATGGGGCGCTAACTCTAGAATCCTAAAACAAGTATATACTGGAGCAGTCAGGCCAGTCATGGAATATGCCTCCACTGCGTGGGCTGCAGCAGCCAAGACAACAATGGGAAAACTGGACAAGGTTCAGAACATGGGATTAAGGATTGTTCTCGGAGCCATGAAAACCACCCCCATCAGAGAAATAGAAAAGATAGCAGATACTGAACCACTCGAACTCAGAAGACAATACAAAACTCTTTTACAGTATGAGAAATTAAAAAGACTTCAAAGTCACCCACTGCATTTTAAATTTCAAGAGAGAACGAAAAACAGACTGAAGCGTCAGAGCCCCAACCACCTTGCTAGAGAACTGTACAGACAGCACCAAGATCTGCTTGAAAGAGATGTTGCACTGTGCGAAAAACTTAGGCCAGAACCATGGACAAGCAAGCCAGAGAAAGCAAATGTAGTCCTAAAGGTACCAGGAATCACTTCAAAAGATGCCCAGACGGAGACACAACAGAGAACCCTGGCTCTTGCTATGCTTGATGAGAAGTATCCAAACACCACTTGGACTCAGGTTTTCACCGACGGCTCTGCTACAGATGCAGTCAGAAAGGGGGGTTGTGGAATTTACATTAAACCCCCTAGCAGTAGAGCAGAAACTCTCTCTCTACCAGCAGGTGACATCTGCACTAACTTCAGAGCTGAGGCAACTGCTCTCCTCTCTGCAGTCCAACATCTCATCACTCAAGAACACAGAGGGCACCAAATTGTTATACTTAGCGACTCATTGTCTGTTCTCCAAGCACTATCCAGCAAAAAACAAGACAAAATAATTGCTGATCTAAGGGACCAACATTGGCTTACTCTCCAAGGAAGCAGAACTGGTCTTGCAGTGGATACCAGCCCACTGTGGTATTCAAGGAAATGAGAGAGCAGATGAGTTGGCAAAAGCTGGGAGTAATCTTCCACAACCTCATCCACCACACAGCTACAAGGAAACCAAAACAGCGCTAAAGCAGTCTTTCAAGCGGGAGTGGAGAAGGCAGAATGGAGATTACAGACCAGAGAGTGACAGCATAAACAAACTCAACAGGAAAGAACATACATCAATTCTTAGACTTCGGACTGGACACTGCGGTCTTAGAGCACACATGTACAGGATAGGCATAAAAGAATCTGCTGCCTGTGATTGTGGAGCAGAAAGACAAACCCCTGAACACGTACTGCAGTACTGCCCTTACCTCTCCCAGCAAAGACTGTGGATCTGGCCCAAAGGAGCCACATTGCAAGAGAAGCTATGGGGGACCGGTGGCGACCTTAAACGCACAATCCTATTTGTGACCCAGACGGGACTAAATGTTTAGCATGACTGATATCGAACGCAGAAGAAGAAGAAGAAGAATGATTTAATTAATTTCCTGTGTGGGTTCTGGGACCCCATTGTGGGGAAAACAGGCGCAGACCCACTGCCTCATCAACAAGCAAGTCACATGAGTCAACTAATTGGGAGCTTCCTTTGAAGTCGGAGTGCATCTGTCTGAGCTAAAAGGAACAACCAACTGCATACAAATAAGCCAGTAAGACAGATCTACATGCAAAACTCAGGCTCTGGCACAAAGTCAAAATGGACGAAAAAACCAGGACTTTCCACCGGAGCTTACAGCCATTGAACAAAGAAGAAGATGATTTATTAAAAATCTGATAGAATACAGTTCATCACTAACTTTTGGATGGAAAACAAAGAGCTGAGAAAAGATTTTAAAAATAATTATTTTTATTTAATGGATATTTGCCTAATCTATTTTCAAACACTGAATTGCTCTATCTGAATGAACATATAAAGTGAACCCCTTTTCCACGCCTACAGGCCTATTGGACATACACAGGTAGTCAACATTACCCTGGCCGCCTTTACTTCCCAGGACTTTGCTTGGTAGCCATTTAAGGCTGGATCGACCAATTCTCTCTATATACCCAAGCCATTTCAGTCTACAGCCCTCATGACACCAGTGAACAATGGTGATTTTAATAAATTATGAATTTCTTTGTTGCTTCTTGCTCTCCATGAGCTATTTTATGATAATAAATGCTATTACTAACTACATATAGCAAAAGTATACAAGAAACAAGAGGACTTGAAATGTGAATGGGCGTAATATTCACTTGTATGTTTACTCAGGCGGATCTTCACTTTTATTATTTCCTGCGGTGGATGTTCACTTCTATGCTTTTACTCGGGAGGAGGTTCACTTCTATGCTTTTACTTGGAAGGATGTTCACTTCTATGCTTTTACTCAGAAGGATGTTAACTTCTATGCTTTTACTCGGGAGGATTTTTACTTTTATTGTTTTACTTAGGACACGCATTGATCATTTTTACAGACTTACTCGGGTGATGTTAAGCTTACAGATCATGACAGATCTTACAACATGTGGCAAACTCTGACTAGAATAAGCTGAAAGCATCCAGAGTTTCTGCTTCAAGAAACTGTCTCAAAGGAGTCGTCTTGAAAGCCCAAATATTTTAGAAAACAAAATCTGCCTCAATGGGGATTTGATTCCAAGACCTTCAGGTAATATTAAAAAAAAAATAATTTTGCTGTAAAATGCACACAACTATGTACATTCAGATGTAGGTAAATTTCATTTGCTTATGCTATTCATACACGTTAACAACTTGGTATAATTTCTAGAGGTTTTGTATTATTATATGTGGTTAATTATCATGATGTATAACAAAGTACACACTGGAAGTTACATGTTTAGTTGAACCAATGATGAACAGCTAAGCTAAATAATACTTAATATAAGCATGAGTCAGCAGTTCTGGGGAAAAACGTGAATAATAAAGTGTTAAAAATGTTTACAATACGCTGTGGTTTTAAGTAATCTAAAGTAATAAGAAACTTTATATGCAGACTTGCTAAAGAGAAAAGGGACTAAATTATACATGTTCAACAAAACTACAAAAAGTTCTAATGACAATATAAGCAATCTACACAGAACCTCTCACAAACTTGCCTGCATGGCGAGAGTTCCTTTCCCTCCTATTCATGCTGCCGCTGGTTGCACAGCCAGTCCTAGTTGGGGGGGGGGGGGGGGGGGGGGGGGGGGGGGGGGGGGTGTTATTGATGTTATGATATGGATGCGTTGGCTCGCGGTACACAATTTTTGTGGGAGGTTGTGTTGTCGTAAGTCTCTTTGAGGTGGTGCAGGTGCCTATGCGCAAGTAAAAAGTACTGGAGGGGGAAGCACCAAAATGCATGAGTATCGAAACTGGGAATGTTTTTGTATTTCTGCATTACTTGGCAGGAAAAAAGCTACTGACAAGGAATGTAGAGAGACAAAAACATCCCAGTTTCGATACGATAGAACCATCAGGCAAGTAGCACAACAGGGAAATAATCAAGCAAGTGAGCAGTGACGACATGAGAAAAGAGAGATTAGTTAAATCATTGAAAATTTAGAATATTTAGCACTTTCACAACACAGAACAGGCTGTTAGATCAATTGCGGCTTGAATGGAAGGGGAAGGAACTCTCTCTGTGCAAGCAAGTTCTCGATAAGTACCATGTACACTACAAAGAAATTACTAGGGCTATATTTAGCCCTATGCTAAACAAGCCTAGGGCCTCATAATCCATACACTTTTTGTAATTAGATTTGGCGACTACACTATCTCCCCCCACTGAATTGGCATTCCTGTTGTTAATTCAGCCACTCATTCACCTGGCAACTAAATGATTGTTTTGTAACTAATAAGTGTATTAATTATAAAACAAATAGTCTAATCACATTAAATGTGGTTTAAATCACCACTGATCACTGGCATCATGAGAGCTAATAGACTGAAATGGCTAGGGCATATCAAAAGAATTTCAGATGACAGAAAAATAAAAACTGTATACACAAGAAAGATGAATGGTAGTAGACCATGAGATAGACCAAGAAGAAGATGGAGAGATAATTTCCAGAAAGACCTACAAACACTTGATGTCCCCAACTGGAAAGAGAAGGCCAACCAGAGAGATGAATGGAGGTGGGTGATATCTGCAGCAATGAACCTCAAGGGCTCAGAATGCTGAAAAAGAAGAAGAATCACATTAAAGATCTTGCTATTAAACAATAAAAGGCATGCCACCATAGGTGTTTATGCTGTGGGACCCAGTGTACATTTTTGTTAACAGGAGGGCTCAAAGATTTATATAACTAGGCCAGCTTTGGGCCTCACCAAGCCAAGATCGAGACCTGCAATTGAGAGAACATTCCACCAAAATGTAAAAAAAAAAAAAAACCTGCAATCCTCCAGCTCCCCTTTCCACCTATATGCAAATATAGGAAATAGGATCGCCAACTCCCCCCCCCCCCCCCCCCCCCCACCCCACACACAAATCTAAAAATGTTAACAAAGCAAATTAAATTAAACAGAAATAAGATTATTCTACGATATGCAGCAAGTGTGGCTAAAACAATCTCTAGTATTAATATTTCTCAGGCTGCTACATACACACACACATACATCTACAAAGCTTTAATAAAATCAGGTATAAAAGCACACAAAAATGAAGGCACCATTTCTGACAATATAAGACACTTAACTCACTCCCTGATCACGAATAAAAAAAAAATGTGGGAATGGAAAAACCACAACTGGTCAGTTTTATTCACAACTGCATAAAAATTGCAAATTATTTATTTGAAACTGTTAGGTGTTCAGAAACTGCAAACCTTTAGATAAAAAAGTAAAATGTAAAGATCCCTTTTCACGCCTTTAGGCGTATCGGGCATATGGGAAGGGCGCCCATATTTTTACAGACCATCAGCACTCGGTGGGTAATGTGGTCAGCATTACGCCGGCTGTCTTTACTTTCCCAGGACAGCCCATCCTGGTACCCATTCTAGGCTGGGTCGACCTGCAACGACCCATACCACGATAAAAAAAAGTCCTGGCCCTGTCAAGACTCGACCCCACGACCTTCCGATCTGCAGGCGAGCGTCTAGCCGCTAGACTACAGCGGCTAAACCTTTAGATAGTACATGTTTATTCTTCAGTTACACACAAAAACAGAAAGAGGATGATGGGAACAGTGTAGCTTCTGATTAGTTTAAACAAGTTCCTGTAGAGTTCTACTACTGCCATGTAAAGAATGCAGATTTTACATAAACAGTAAACATATACATTTAGAAGATACAGAAACCAGTAAGACACAGAGGAGATAAATGAAACTGTTTGGCAGCGAGTTTAGAGCCTAGATTTTTTTGACTGTGTGTAGACTTTCTGTAACAGACACTTTGACTTGTGGAGCACTCAGGGTATTTCCTTACATTCTCCGGCCTCATCTCCAGCAGCCAGCACAGAGTTCCAATACTGATGATACCGGTGACAATCTGGTTTTATGTCCATCTTGTCTTTACTCTGAGTGTAGTGGGTGGGCCAGACCCTCTGGTTACACCCAAATTCCTCATTCTCTCCAGGCCATAATAATCTTCTATCTCTACTGATTCTGTTGCTTGTTCCCAAAGGGTCTTGAATATTTTATTGGTTACTTTAAATGTACTTGGTATTCATTTCTTGACTTCTTTGCTACAAATTTTTTTTTTAAATTACATTTTGTCCCAACTGTTAGTTTATCTTGCTTTAGTCCATGTTGTATTAGGTAAACCTTTGAGATTGAAAGTCTGTTATTCTACAATACATAAACTTTGGATAAGACAACAACAACAATACAACGAAAGTGTTAAAAAGCAACACATGACTGATGGAAGTACCAAATAGGAAACCTGAAGAAAATGTGAGCACTTAAACCTAAAGCTACATCTTTGAGCATAACAGAACAGTCAGCTGCAGCAAAAGAACTTGCACACTTTAGAACAGGGCTTTTCCAAACTGACAGCATGTGGGCCAAATCTTATGTCTACCTTTGTGGAGGGCTTCTGCCTCTTTTTTTTTAAAACTACACCTTGCCATCACCGTTCTATCCAGGCCACCATGACGCTCAACATAGCTAAAATATCTCATAAACACTATACTGTAGACTGAACCAGGACCACTGTCTTAGCAAACTGGGGACCTGTGTACTAACCACTACACTGCAGCAGCTCTGTTTGGCTAAAATTTCTAGATTACACACAAGCCTCCATGACATTTCTAGTTGTGTCTGTACGTCACACAGGCACTTACACACAAGCCTCCATGTCATTTCTAGTAGTGTCTATACGTCACACAGGCACTTACACACAAGCCTCCATGACATTTCTAGTAGTGTCTGTACGTCACACAGGCACTTACACACAAGCCTCCATGACATTTCTAGTTGTGTCTGTACGTCACACAGGCACTTACACACAAGCCTCCATGACATTTCTAGTTGTGTCTGTACGTCACACAGGCACTTACACACAAGCCTCCATGACATTTCTAGTTGTGTCTGTACGTCACACAGGCACTGACACACATTTTCTCTTATAACCTGCAATTCTGAACAACTATGATTAGCTAAAGAGATAAAATGGAACCTTGGAGCTAATATTAGACAAATTTACATTAACATACCTGATTCCTGACACACATTTTCTCTAATAACCTGCAATTCTGAACAACTGTGTTTAGCTAAAGTGATAAAATGGAACCTTGGAGCTAATATTAGACAAATTTACATTAACACAATCACAGCTTAGTGAAAAATACATGTATGGAATTCACTCGTAGATTTGCAGCATTGTACATGAAACAGCATATGAAATATTTATCACAACATATAAAATACTTGGGTGAAATCCACTGAGAATGATGAAATGATAAAGTATATAAACAGTTTATAAACATGGCAACAGAGGTGTATATGGTCCTGTCACAGTGTGAATCAGTGATACTGGACAAAGTGATTGCAGGTACCAAAGTACTTGTCAACTGACATTGTATGCCAACTGCAGATATAAAAAAACTGGACAGGTCACATTCACACACATTTTTTTTCAATCTCTTCTTCTTCATGTTCACCAGCTGAAAACTCCAGCAGAAAGTTCTGGTTGTTCATCCACTTCTGGACTGTGGTCTTGTTCCAGAACTTGAATTTTGCATGCTTATCTGTTTACAGATCTGGCTTATTTGTATAGTTTCCCCTCTCTCAGGCAGAGAGACTCCAGTTTAGAAGGAAACAACTCTAATTAGTCAACTTTTACAATAAGACCCTGGAACCCATTTAGGAAATTCTCAAAGTTAATTCTACAACATGCCAGCATTGCATAAAAGATGAATGGAACAATTCTGGATAAAACTGGCACGGTGACATACTAAAAACATTTCCCATTATTTTAATGACAGCAGATACAGGGCTTTATATGCAATGAATGTATAACAGATTTTTCATTCAGAAATATTAAAAGCTCAGATTTCCTTTTCTTTTTCAGACATACAATATCACTCAGCTTTATACATCAGACATTAAGTTATGGCTAATATGCAAATGTCTGCATCATTTATGGATAAAAATAAAAGACAGAAATATTAACAACATCTAGCGGGATGGTAAATGTTACATGAACCATGTATCTGGTAAATATGTGGAGTAAATGAGCATGCAGGTGATTGCTGACAGAGTTCACTCCGAGTCTGATGAAATGCTGCCGTTGTGAGTCAACACTTGCACTGTGTTTGCAGGCTGTCTTGTGTTGCTGGGATTGAATGGAAGGCTATCTGACCTTGGAGGGGGTACAACTGTCCGACCTGTAATCATGCAATGAAAACCGATTATTCCTTTCAATCAGATCAAATGGTAAACTGTATTTGAAGGTTATGAGAGGAATGAATTGAGACACTGATACCATTTTTCGATGAGTGTTATACGTAACTGACTCAGATTTACTACTTTTAATCACCATCACATTTGTGCTGATAAGCATGGCTGTCCTGCTTTGCTATACACTATAATCACCAGTATTATGGATCAGCTCTGTGTTCTTGTCTTGCTCCCATTTATATGGCTAAGCCATCCAGGTATTTATGTTTCTCCCTTTCCTTTGCTCTCTTTCCATCAATCTTACCAGTTGTTATGAAGTTCTGGAGTCCAATCCTTCCCAAAATATGTCTGACAAAAAAAAAAAAAAAAGACACTGTCTATTTGAACAAAGAAGACACAAACAACAGACTGGACAACTGGCATATTTCACTGTTTATCTCATCAGGTATGTGATTATTATTGTAGCATGTACCTGACTAGATACTGCAAAATATGCCAGACAATAAATTGTGCATCTATTGTTTGTGTCTTCTTTATGCAAATTTACAACATGGATGCATTGCCTAATTTTTCTAATCAGTTTACACCTTTGTCTATTTTAAGGAGGACTGTGCCGTTTTTTTTTAATCATCTAACCATATTATCTGCAATCTTCTGAAAAACTGCATCATTGTGAGTACATGGGTTTTAATGCCTGCAATTAACGATAAACAGGTGGTCAACAACAATATATATATCTATATCTTCATGTTTATCAGCTGAAAATTCTGGCAGAAAGTTCTGGTTGTTTGTCCACTTCTGGACTTTAGACCTGTTCCAGATCTGAAGTTCTGCTTGAACATCTATTGTACAGATCTGGCTTATTTGTGAAAAAGACTAATGATTCCTCACTTCTCTGGCAGATGCACTCTGGATCCAAAGAAAAGACTCCTAAATAATCAACTATTATGACACACTTGTTAGGGTGGGTGTGTGCGCACACAGACACGCACGCACCCACCCATGCATGCATCCACACACACATGCACGCACGCACCCACCCATGTACGCACACTCACACACAATCATAATTTTGATACGTCACTATATGTAACCAGCCCAGAGCCCCATTCTGTTCTATCCTGTGCCGTCCTCTCAGTATCACAGATGGAATCGTCCAGCACCTGAGGCCTCTCTCTACATTGTTTCTTCTAGGTTTTCTCCTGGACATTCTCATTTCTAATGTCCATTTGTTTCCCATTTTAGTGCCTGTTTGGTGATTCTATGACCGTTTCTCCTCCTGATGTGCCCGATTTTTTGCCTCTTTTTTTTTTGCATAACTGATGATATAGGTTATTGTGTGGACAATTTTTTTATTATCTTTTCTGACTTTATCCCATTTAATGTTCATCAATTTTCTTAGGTGTATACACACATACGCCCACATGCATGCACACCCCCACACACATATGCATGCATGCACACAAGCACATGCACACACATACATATATGTGCACTTTTTTCTGTCTTTCCAGAAGAAAGTATTATACTGTGCTTACTGGGCTGCTCTAATGTGGAGAGAGACAAAACTAGAAAAGTAATTTCAGTCACAAACTTACTGGGCTGCTCTAATGTGGAGAGAGACAAAACTAGAAAAGTAATTTCAGTCACAAACTTACTGGGCTGCTCTAATGTGGAGATAGACAAAAACTAGATAGGTAATTTCAGTCACAAACTTACTGGGCTGCTCTAATGTGGGGAGAGACAAAACTAGGCAGGTAATTTCAATCACAAACTTACTGGGCTGCTCTAATGTAGAGAGAGCCAAAAACTAGATAGGTAATTTCAGTCACAAACTTACTGGGCTTCTCTAATGTGGAGAGAGACAAAAACTAGATAAGTAATTTCAGTCACAAACTTACTGGGCTGCTCTAATGTGGAGAGAGGCAAAAACTAGATAAGTAATTTCAGTCACAAACTTACTGGGCTGCTCTAATGTGGGGAGAGACAAAACTAGGCAGGTAATTTCAATCACAAACTTACTGGGCTGCTCTAATGTGGAGAGAGACAAAAACTAGATAGGTAATTTCAGTCACAAACTTACTGGGCTGCTCTAATGTGGAGAGAGACAAAAACTTGGTAGGTAATTTCAATCACAAACTTACTGGGTTGGTGTAATGCAGACAGAGTAACATCTGGTGGGTTTATAATTATATGAGACTGAAGTCCTTTTATTCTCAGATCGGGACTGTGGTCTCTTTCTGATGCTTGCTCTGAAATATTACCAAAACTATTAGGATAGCATTTTACCAGCAAGTTTTCTTTACAAACATGGCTATTAACATATTAAACACATTGAACAGATATAATTTTTCAGTTATCAGTTTTCATAGTTATTGCATCTTCTGGTAGCAATGTGTTTTTCTGCTGTATGGGGTTTTCTGTATTCAAATACAAGCTCATGAACAGTTTGTTATAAGTTACCATACACTGATCCACATCTGAACACATCTGCTCAAAAGTGAATTATTTCATACAAAGTAATAGGTGGAAAGGCAGCATTCCTTTAACTCACAAGTGCTGACTGGCTTTCAGCCATTGTCTGTCTCTAAATAAAAAAGGTGGCAGATACAAATCCCTCACCGAAAGAAAGGAATCTGAAGCTATGCTCCAACTACCATACCATCGCATTAATAAGTCATACTAGTAAAATCTTCTTAAAATCATGGTTTAAAAATTAAAAATTACCTTCATCAACACCATGATTGCCAAGGCGTTCTCTTTCTTTTTCCTTTTTCATCTTTTCAAGCTGTTCCATTGCCAGCTCTGTAGTATTATAAATCAAGTTTGAATTTCCTTAACTCACCATGAATGTCATAAATACAAAACTATTCATTTTTACCTAAATTCAATCATTATATGTGGCAACATATTTATCATTAATAAAGTCAAAGTCACTACATGATATTTAGTAGCAGATCACTTTGTGAATTATTTTTCTTTTCAGTGTTAACTGGCTGTAAAACCCTGTTGAAAGTTCTGTTTTTTTCGTCCACTTCTAGACGCTAGTCCTATTCCAGAACTTGAGTTTTGTGTGCACGTCCATTTCATAAATCTGGCTTGTTTGTATGCAGACTGTTGGTTACTTGTCTCCTAGGCAGACGCACTCGGACTTTGAAAGAAACATCCCTAAATAGTCACTGACAAGATACTGCAAAATATTCCAGGCAATACATTGTGCAATCTATTGTTTGAGTCTTCTTTAGGCAAATGCTTATTAGAGGGCGGTGGGTTATACACCGCCTGCCCCCACACAACATGGGGCCCCAGAAACCACATGATGAACTTTGCACTGATTTCAGCAATGTTTGAGCATGAAACCATTTAGGAAGCAATGATAAACTAGTAAAGGAAAAAGACTGCCTAGCAAAACCACAATCAGGCAACAAATGTTGAGGTTGAAATGTGATGACCTGCAAAGAATATGCAACTAACTTTGTAAATAATCATGCACCAAATTTCTGATGATTATTCAGTTAATTAAAGAAAGATAAAACATTGTTACCATTGTCATCACTGCCCAATTAATTTGAAGACTAACCTTCATTAAAAATTATATGAAAATCATAGTTGTACATATCTCATACCTTCAAGACATTTCTTCTTTTGTTTTTTGCTTTCAATGTTAAAAAATTCAGTTGGCACAAAATGTGCTTGACAGCAAGGCTGCAATAGCTGCATCTTTTGGCCCAATACATATGTGATTTGTGATAAATCCTTAATTAGTCAGATTGTAGGACATGCTTGTCAGGGAGGGATGGCAATAAGTTTGTCCCCCCCCCCTCTCCCCCCCCCCCCCCCCCCCCAAGAGGAGCCTCAAACCAACATAGGTATTTGAAGTGTCTAATGCAACACTAGCAAGCATGGATTCTAATCTACCGTAAGATACAAGATGTATCTTTAGGAAAGGGATCTCTATGGCAAAGTGGTTATTCTGTTTGCCTCATGTTCTGAAAGTCATGGGTTCTGTTTTGAATATAAATATGCCTTATAGTCAGGGAAATATGGTAAGTGCGAATACAAATTGCTGTCATAACCATTTTGGAAGAGACTGCTGAAGAAAGACAGAAATAGTAGTTGTAAAACACAATACAATGTACAAAGCGCTGTTATAAGGATGAACACAAGAGAACAATAAACAGTCAATGTTCATTAAGTCCGAAGAAACCAAGATCAGTGATGAAATATGGAGAGAAAAAAAACAGTCAATAGTGCTGAACCTACAAAATGCTGAACCTACAAAATGCTGAACCTACAAAATGTGCTGAACCTACAAAATGCTGAACCTACAAAATGTGCTGAACCTACAAAATGTGCTGAACCTAAAAAATGTGCTGAACCTAAAAAATGTGCTGAACCTAAAAAATGTGCTGAACCTACAAAATGTGCTGAACCTACAAAATGTGCTGGACCTATAAAATGTGCTGGACCTATAAAATGTGCTGGACCTATAAAATGTGCTGAACCTAAAAAATGTGCTGAACCTACAAAATGTGCTAGACCTATAAAATGTGCTGGACCTATAAAATGTGCTGAACCTATAAAATGTGCTGGACCTATAAAATGTGCTGAACCTAAAAAATGTGCTGGACCTATAAAATGTGCTGAACCTATAAAACGTGCTGAACCTATAAAATGTGCTGGACCTATAAAATGTGCTGAACCTAAAAAATGTGCTGGACCTATAAAATGTGCTGAACCTATAAAATGTGCTGGACCTATAAAATGTTCTGAACCTAAAAAATGTGCTGAACCTATAAAATGTGCTGAACCTACAAAATGTGCTGAACCTATAAGATATACTAAAACTGACCATTACTTACCAACAGCTTTGCTTTTTGGAACTTGACTTTCCCATCTCTGACCCATATCGAAGTCATCATCATCATCATCTGAGGAATGACTTGAAGCCAGTTCCAGGCTATGTCTGTCTATGCTGGCATCACTATCAGAATCAGAATCATTTCCATCCTTATCCAGTCCACCAGGTTCTAGAAAGAAATAACTGAATAAGTAGCACCATAAATAATATCAATACTACCCGTTTCAACCTTGGGTTATAAGTGGAATGTATAGACATTCTAAATAATAGATATTTCTATTTTTCTGACACTTTTGCTTATTTATTTCATTTTGAAAAGATTAAATAAACATGTCCTTTAAACAACTGTCATATCATATTGTGCTATGCATCTGATGAGATATAATTATAGCTTTTCACCGAATGACTATAAATACTAGTAATTTTCTTTGCAGTACTGATCCCTGTTTGACATTATGTATTCTTGTAATGTACTGCTTAATCTTACTTCAATTCTCTGAGCTTAATACTTACTTCATACTTTTTGTTTTTAAACAGTTATAGGCATACTGCAGGGGTCAAATATTCAACCAGTGGATTCTTTTTTGGAGTTCACATTCTTGCACTCCAGTAAATAATATTCAATATTCTTCTGACATTCTGCAGGGTTGCCTTCTCAAATAGTAATAAAAGACACATAGGAAGTTACTATAAACTCAGTATTTTTTTTAACAGTAGAGAGTTTTCAGTTCGTTTGTTACTTGATTTGTTCTAGAAGTATTTAACGATTTGCATGCATCCTCCTTTGAAACTTTGATTCCATTTCAGCAACAACAACAACAAAAAAAGGGAAAATTACAGCTGATTTCAACAGCTGTCACAAGTTTTATTCTTGTCAATTCAATATGAGCAGTATTGAAAAGCATTCTTTTCTTTTATCAAATGTGCACAAACGTAGAAAAAATGAATAAATTCAGATTCTCAAATTATATATCAATGCCTTAGCATAAATCTCCACCGTAGATATTCACACATCTTCAATGTATTCTCCTAAACTCAGGCTTCCAAAATTTATGCTGTAAGCAGATCCTTGCGAATTTGGAGGTGTACAGGTCTGATGATTAATGGAGATATTTTCTCAACCAGCTATGATTGCCACATTTTATTATATGTGCCTACATGAGTGGCTAGTTGAGTGGCTAGGAGTGGTTAGAAAAGTGGTTAGATGAGTGGCTAGATGAGTGGTTAGATGGGTGGTCAGATGAGTGGTTAGACAAGTGGCTAGATGAGTGGTTAGATGAGTGGCTAGTTGAGCGGTCAGACGAGTGGTTAGATGAGTGGCTAAATGAGTGGTTAGATAAGTGGCTAAATAAGTGGATAGATGAGTGGTTAGAACACAACAGAAGTTGTATTCCTCGGTAAGGTGATGGAGACTTTTTTCTGTCCCTACAAAAATAAAAATGCTAAGCTGCACAGTTCACAGTGACAGCACTAGTCATACTGCTCTAAAACTCCTGTGCTCTAGAACAACACCCCCCCCCCCCTCCCCTCATCTCTTTTCCTTACACCCCCAGCCCCTAAAATGTGGTAGGTACAGACAGTAAAGACAGGCAGCTGTGCCCTACGTAGACTGAGCATGTTTGCCTCAAGCTGCTTCATACCTTCTTTAATATTTTCTTGAAATGGTGATTCAAAACCATAAGGTATATTGCGGGCTGGGCCGGTAGACGTGGAACTACTTGTGCTCTGCAGGTACTTGTCCCCTTTGCCTGGACAACTGTTTTTACTTGACTCGGATGTGGTTGAGGTAGTGGAGATTCCAACACTGTGGACCCTTACTCCTCCTCTCTCACTTGCAGAGTCATGGTGATATGCAAGAGCTGAACGCTGGTGGGAAAACAGAAATGTGCACACAACAAACTTTTAAAATCCCATCTACAAAGCTTAAAACTACATAGGTTGTCTAGAAAGACTAGGAGAGTGCAGATAGGTAATATTAGAAGAAAAAAAAACAAGTGACATATTTTGGCTTCATAAAGCATTATACACTTATAAAAACCCTACTTGATGGAGCAGTTGAAGGCAGGTAAGCAGAGGTATACAGTGTTATACTTGGGAAGACAGATCCACTGCAGCCAACTGTCATTGTGGAGACAGAAACTATGTGATTACCTAAACTTAAGAGGGCGATCTAACAATATGTCTAAATAAGCACGTTACTAATAAAGAAACAGCAGTGGACTTGTTGATAATATGAACACAGCAAACATGAAAACTGCCGATATTAGGGTGGACAGTGGAAACAAATAACAGTGACACAGAATCTACCATGCATTTCATAAGAGACAGGCCACATCATTGTGTAAATAATGTTATCTGTAAAATCCAGCTAATAATGCACAAGAATACAAAAGATTTTTTGTCAGCTGGTTGAGGTCTTATCTGCCTTTGGGAGATTAAAGGCAAAAAAATAACAAGAATAAACACAAATATGTAAACTGTCGGTGGGAGGGGGTTAGACCCACTGCTATCTTAACAAGCATATTATAAAAGTTGACTCAGTAAGGGTGTTTCCTTTGATGCTGCAGAGCATCCATCTGAGAGGTAAGGAACCAACAGTCTGCACACAAATAAGCCAGGTCTATAAAACAGATGTGCATGTAAAACTCCAGTTCTTGACCAAGACTCAAGTCCAGAAGTGGATGAAAACCAAATAATTTTCATGAGATGCAGAGTAATAATCTGATATCCAGGAAGATGAAAAGAAAACATACTACACCTGCATTGTTTTTGTTCACTGTCAAACACCACACTGTCATCTATTTGAACTAGAATAGGCATCAGAGGATGAGGATGATTAGTCCTACCTGAGCCTGGCAATGTCTCTTGTAACAACTTATATTTTCATATGGCATGCCTCTGTGTGCCTCTCAAAGCCCAACCCCACATCCATCTTATGAAAGGTGGTGAAGGGGGACAATGTAAGGGATTGCTACAATTAAGGGAAGTATGGTTTCACCATGGAGCACAACTAAAAGAGATGAAGGTTTATTACAGGTTTTTAAAAACAGAGTATTATGACGAATCTTTAGACCAACCAAAGATGTAAATGCGGGCAATAGAGAGCGAGAAGCAACAATGAAATTCATAGTCTGTTTAAATCAACTGGGTCACTGGCATCATGAGAGTAATAGGTTGAAATGGTTGGTGCATATTGAGAGAATGTCAGATGACAGAGAGGTAAAAACTGTATACACAAAGGAGCTGACTGGTCCTTGACCATGATGCAGACCAAAAAGACTATGGAGAGATAATGTCCAGAGAGATCTGCAAACACTTGGTGTTACCAACTGGAAAGAGAAGGCCAAACAGAGAGATGGGTGGAGGCGGGTGATATCTGCAGCAATGAATCTCAAGGGCTTGGAATACTGAAGAAGAAGAAGATGGTGTCGTCTTGTTCAATGGGACTGCTCTGGAAGCATGAAGGACATTCTGGGTCACCCCAAAATATCCAATGGGCTTGACCAATAGGGCTCTGGTGAATTTGTGACAGGTGTAGCAAGTCAACAATGGATTTATTATCGCTAAAAAAAATACTATAAGATATCTTCTTCTTCTGCCTGTATACCGGCTCTAATGCCTGGCGGAAAGTTTTGATTATTCACTCACTTCTGAACTTCAGTCTTGTTACAGAACTTGAGATTTGTGTGCACATCCATTTTACAGATCTAGCTTATCTGCATACAGACTATTGGTTCCTCACTTCTCAACCAGATACACTCTGAATTTGAAGGAAGCAACCCTAATTAGTTAACTTGTTTGACATGCTTGTTAGGACGGCAGTAGCTCTATTTTTGTTCCCGCAGCAATGGGGTCTGGAATCCACATAGGGACTTGAGACAAAAATGAATAGGAAGACAACATCAGAGAAACACTACAAGAATATAAAGTGTCAAGGTGGCCATAAGAGAAAGAAACAGAAATGTACAGCTCCCCTGACATCCAAAGTGGTAAAAGAGGAAGTAAAGAAGAAGAAAATGCCTCCGTGTGACTAACTTGATTCTTAACTGTTCCAAAGCCACTCATGTTCTGACTTAGCTAAGCAGAGACATCAGCAACTATCCTCTCTAAATGTTAAAGTCAGTATTATTACAGCGCTTCATGACTTTCAGAGTGTCTTGCACTGTCTTTTCAGCTTACAGTGAGCCAGATTTTTCAATAAAATATTCTCACCTCAAGCTACCCAGTTCAAACCTAAACATAATTACTGGTCGCTATGATCAGATATTTTTATATTTTATACAAACAAATGTGAACCAATGTACAAAAATACACATCACAAAAATCAAAAATCCCTTACCGAATGGAATGAGCTCCTAATCCCTGCTTTGTTTTCATCAAATTCTACCTTCTTTCCTCTCAGTCTGTAGTAGCATCTCTTGATGCACCAACGAACCTGTTATTGTAAAACGTGTTAAAAATGGGGCACCTAAATTACTTTTTTTTTTTTTACAGACTTGAGTTAGAAGAAGAACGGAGCATTTATGGGTTACTACTTGTGTGCCATGATGTTGATCTGTTATTCAGACCTCAAACCTGTGTCTGACATTTTCTTGATTTTGCAATATTTTCCTTTTGCACCTAATTTGTAAATGTTATTTTTATGGATGCAGGGTTGAGCATGGGGTCAGCTCCCTAGCCCTGTATAACAATTCTGCTATAAATATTTGTAGAAAACAAAACTCATTCTGTATGTTAACCAGCCAATTGGTGTGTGGTGCACTGAGTGCATTTAGACAGTTTCAGATGAAAGCTGCTCTGCAGAAGTCAGTGGTCTTAAATGGAAACCGCTTAGCTCAAACACACACACACTACGACTGGTTTTTGGAACATTCAAACTACAGTCCAAATCAACCCAGGTAGAAAAAATATGAAAAACTAAATGTTGGACATATTGGGTTTCAAGGAGGTAAGATGGTCTGCAGCAGACATAAGAGTGGTTAGTGTGATAACCCTTAAATACTTAGGAAGAAGTGATGGAAAATACATGAAAGGAATAGCATTAAGATCACACCCAGAGTTGCAAAGTACTTGTCAAAGCGTAAATCTACATTATGTCAACTAATCAGATATCTAAAAAGTCATCCTAAGACAAAGATGATTTAGGAATTCATCCATGATAGGAAAACCTTGGGAAAAGACTGCTAGTCCAGTGTGTATAAACATGTTACTAATAAAGAAATAGCAGTGGACTTGATAATATGAACACAGCAAACATGAATACTGGCAATATGTTATCAGGGTGGACAAGGGTGGATTACTCAAGAGGATGAGTGAGGATTTAAAGATCTGAAAATAAAAGAAATTAACCAACATGAATGTGAATACAAGAGATGAAAGACACCATGGGCAGTAAAATTGGGTTAGCATGAAAAGTGATACAGATTAAGTCATTCCAGTGGGATGGGAATAGCCTCCCAAAGACCTGTTTCCTGAAGAGGAAACTATAGTCACAGCAAAAGGCAAACATTACCATTTTCACATTAGACATAAAGTGAACATAACAATTCAACTCACAAGATATTAGAAACAGAATTGAAGAAAAAACCCAAACCCTTTCACTCCGCAAATACTATTTAAAAATGGACCATGAACCTATGGAATTTCCCAAAACTCTTTAAAAAAAATTTTTTTAATTTAAACATGAGAAACAAATAAATGATTTATTTGTCCATATTTTTAAACAATTTTTGTTTTCAAATATACAAAGATACATAAAGGCAGTAATCAAACAAAGTGAGAGTGAAGTGTTAAATGGAATGCATTCCCCAGGGTCTAAAACTGATTGGTATTGGGTGACTCATGCTGAGACCTCAATCACTGAGGCTTACGGTAAAATTTTCACAGGTTCACTGGCAGAAGATCAATTCTTCTTCTTCTTCTTCCTGTTCACCAGCTGTACACTCTGTCGCAAAGTTCTGGTTGTTCATCCACTTCTGAACTGCAGTCCTGCTCCAGAACCTGAGTGTTATGTGTGCATCAGTTTTACAGATTTGATTCACTTGAATGCAGACTGTTGGTTCCTTGCCTCTCAGGCAGACAGACTCTGACTTTAAAGGAAGCTCCTGAGTTAGTCGACTCTTACGACATGCTTTTGGGTAGGCAGTGGGTCGATTCTTGTTTGCCCCACAATGGGGCGCCGGAACCCATGGGGGAAGAAGATCAATTAAAATCTACACTTCTGAGATTATGTACAATCAATAATATCATTCAAAAATATTTAACAAGCAAAGTTAGACAGTAGAAGGCATGACAGCTAAATATTTTAAAATATATCTACTCATAAATTCATACCTTTTTGTTAAAAACAATGTACACTGAAAATATGAAGATGCCCTCTATGAATATTAACACAGCATGAATATAATGTAGGGCCAAAATTCCAAAGTTGACAGACAGAAGGCCTATCACCCAGGTGGCACTCAGAAGAGACAACAGGAAAATGGCAGCTACAAGTCCAAACCTGCAAAGACGTAATATCATTTTTAGCATCTTCATTAACACTTTCAAAAATGATATATTATATTGCATAATTAAAGTGATATAGTTACAATCAAATAGGGACTTGACCTACCAAGAGACTAAGACATTAAATACAATCTAGTATTTAACAAAATGGCTGGATGCACACATACAATTCTCTCCTCAAGACTCGCTTCATCATCTCTCCAGAGTATTATATTCAGACTGGGGACTGGGCACAACAGACTTCGTCAACATATGTTTAAACTTGTCGATGTAGGAAACACACAGACGTGGCCCTGTAGCATGGCACCAGAAAATGTGCTACAACACTGTCAACTGTATGCTGCCAGCAAAGATGCAACCTGGTCTGTTTCAACCGCAAAGCAGACAAAACTGTATGGTACATGAGAGGATATTAAAAACTCAAACCTGACTGTGCTGACATCTGCAACAGGGATCTTTTCTGCACAACTAGTTTTTGCAGCCAATAGAAAAGTGAATATGTTTATCTGTTGATAGAAACAAATATTCTTTTTTTATACACATTTGTCTTATGATAATAGTAAAAAAAAATTTTTTTAACTGTCACAATATTTTATCTAATCAGTTATCTCATGTAACAGTTAAGATAATAATCTCCTTCAATGGTTTATTAATGAAATGATAAAATCAGAAGAAGAAAAAATTTGAATAATGGCAACAACAGATTTTATTCAAAAATAATAGGTAAAATGGTTCTGCCATCTGAGTGGGATACTAAAAGACAGTATAACACAACAAGCAAAAATTACATACCAAGGGGACATTAAAAGAGAGGTAAAAAGTAAAGTAAAGGACCCTTGTCCATGCCTTCAGGTGTACTGGGCATACAGGGCTGGACCTATATTTGATAGACCAATCAGCATTTGGTGGTGGGTGATGTGGTCAACATCAAGTCGGCTGCATTTGCTTCCCAGGACTCCACCTGGTACCCATTCAAGTCTGGGTCGACCTGGGAGCCAAGGCCCTTTTTGAAAATGGTCCAGTACTGTCAGGACCCAAAACCACAACCTTCCGATTCGTAGGCAAGCATCTAGTCGTTTCACCAAGGCGGCTTCCTTTAAAGAGAGGTAAATCCTCAAAATTATGGACAGAGGGAATAAACAGCCTCTATAAACTTGTATATAAGAAGCATACAAACTGGGACTCTCACACTGTTTATACTTCATCTCAACACCATAAAGTAAAGCAGGAACAAGATGACTGATATGAAAAGAGATCTGTATCTGTACTTTGGTCTTTATTAAGATATCCAAGCATAACTATGAGTGCAAAGAGACAGATTATTGACAGCATATTCATTCCAACATTAAGCTACCAGTGCCAAACATGGACACTATCTAAAGCCCATATATGCAAAATCACCACTTGCGAGATGAGATGCCTAAGAAAAGCAGCCAAACTAACCATCCAAGATCTAGTGAATAATGAAACTATCAGGCAAATTGTAGGAACAGAAAACGCTAAACTGATACTAAACAAACTTAATGAGACACAACAGTCCACATCGGTATGACAGTTAACTGAAAACTAAATCCATCATCTAAAAAAATGAAAAAATAAAAAAAAAAGCGAACCAGAAGCTGATGAAGAAACAGGAAGCATTTTGCAGTTTAAAGTGCCACCTTAATTTTATTTACACCCTAAACTTATAAAAACTACACAAAATACGCTGGATCAGTTAATTATAAATCTCCTCTGATGTGCCTCCTTTTTGGTGTGCTAGAGGGCCTTGTGAGTTCTAATGACCCCAAGAGCTACAGACCAATGGTAGCTTAGCTCCTTGTAGGGTTCCCATGCCTTATGGATCAAGGGATAGGGACCAGATGAAGAGAGCCTGCTGTCTTGCAGGTAGATTAGGAATAGTCCAAGGCTTTGTAAAGCAAACATGAAACAAGCGCTTGTCAAAATGAGATGTTTAAAACCAGAGACTTGATGAAACAATGCGACAAACTTCTTTCATGATGATTTTATTGGAAGTAAAAGCAAAGTAACTCTTTCTGTCTAAAGAAATGCACCACATGCAATAAGCTTGGTAGTCAATTCTTATTACTTCTTTTCAATGCCAATATATGTTTTTCAAATCTTTGGTGCATCGGCTATTTGGTGCTAGACGTATATATTTATAGACCAGTCAACCTCAGTGAGTAATATGGTAAACATCATGCAAGGATTTTATTGGAAATATAATTTTATTAAAAAAAAACATACCACAATAATCAATGCTACTGGTCCAGCGAAGCTCCATATAAAAGATTCTGATGTTGACAGCCAGCAACTAAAAATAAAATAAGAATGAACATGTAAATACTGAGTTGATCAGCTATTTGTTTAGTCACTAAAGAGATCAAAGTTTAAATTAGCTCAGTCACAAAGGTTCTAGTCAACTGCATTTTGCACTTGATTTATAAATTCTCATCTGCTTGGTTTAAGAATTGTCAATATTTGTAGATATCATAACAAGGACTGTCTTATACCAGTGTGTTGTCTGGTTTCCACAATATGAGAGAGAGATATAATTTGTGTGTATGTGAGTGAGAAAGAGAGTGAGAGAGAGTGATGCAGTGAGTGAGTGAGTGAGGTGAGTGAGTGAGGTGAGTGAGTGAGGTGAGTGAGTGAGTGAGGTGAGGTGAGTGAGGTGAGGTGAGGTGAGTGAGGTGAGTGAGTGAGTGAGTGAGTGAGTGAGTGAGTGAGTGAGTGAGTGAGTGAGTGAGTGAGTGAGTGAGTGAGTGAGTGAGTGAGTGAGTGAGTGAGTGAGTGAGTGAGTGAGTGAGTGAATGTAATGCAGTTTGGGAGCGAGTGTCTGAAAGAGGGAGAGAGGGAGAAAGAGCAATGCAGTGTGTGAGTGTGTGTAAGAAATAGCCACAGTGTACCAGTGAGAGAGAAAGAATAAAAAAGTGTGTGGTGTAACAGTGAATTGTGGGAGTTGTGGTGTGAAACTGTGCAAAAAAGAAAGAGAAATACAGGTTAGTGACAAAGACAACAATGAAACATAAACAAATGCATTGCCTGCATTGTTTTTGTATTAACATTTTAAGTGAATAGCAGATGTCACTCTTCCCCTGCTTGTAGTTAAATATAGCAACAGTCAAGTCAAGAACCCTTTCAACCCAGTGATGCATTGTGTATATGATACGAGACTCATATTTTTTTTAGACCAATCAGCACTTGATGGATGATATGGTCATCAACACACTGGCCATCTTTACTTCACAGGACATTAAATGTCCCAATTTAAGCTGAGGTGACCTGATGCAAAATTGCTGAACAGGCATCTTAGTTTAAATATCTGACAACTGCATTTACCGAGGGTGGCAAAAACTGAAGAAATTAAAAACCGAAGCAGAAGAGCCAACCAAGTATTGGGACAGCTGCCCCCCCCCCCCCCCCCCCCCCCCCCCCACACACAGCATAAAATAGTCCCAATCAGCACAAAGAAACATCTCACACAATGTATATTCATACCTACCCTATGCTATCAGTGCCAGACATGGTCACTCACAACAAAACATGTTAGTAACCATGGAAATAAGATGTTTAAGAAGGGCTGCATGATTGACCAGAAGAGACAAATAAGGAATAAAGTCATGAGAGAAAAGGCTGGCACAGAACCAATCGCAAATCATCTATAAAGGCAGCAAACAAAAAATGGTTTGCCCAGTTAGAAAGAAAGCCTTGCGATGGCATACCATACCATACAAGGCATACACCAAAAGAGGAGAGAGACGCAGAGCACGAGAGACCAAGAAAGAGATGCAAAGATGACATCAGAAAAACTCTACAACAGCATGATGTTTCTAGGGTGGAGGTGGCCAGAAGAGCATGAAGCAGAACCTTTTATCTCCCTCCGCACCCGGAGCGGTAAAAGAGAGAGTAAAGAAGAAAATTCGAATAATTTAAAAAAAAATGTTTACAAAAATATAAAACTTACAAGCTGGCATTTCCATAGGCGCTGGTATATAATCCCACTGCAAGACCAACTATTATGCCAGGTATAACTGAAATGGATAAGGTGAAGAGTAACTCAGTGAACATGGATAAGTCAATATAAAAAGTAACTTATTAAAGACATAAAAGTCTACATAATGAGTGACTCAATTAACATGGATAAGTTATAAAGGATCAAGGAATATGGCTAATTCAAAACAGAGTAACTCAGTAAATATGGAGAAGTCAATTTAAAAAGTCACTAATTAAAAACAGCAAAATCAATACAAAGAGTCTTCTTCTTGTCTCTGCTCCTTGAATGCCTCACGGCGTCAGGGCAGGAAGAGATCTATGGAACAGGCCCTTCTGATTGCTTCATATAAAGTACTTTTCAGTGTCTCTGATATTTCTGTGGTCCATATTCTGCGTGGTCGACCTCTGGTTCTGTTACCCGTGTATCTGTACAGCAGTGCTCTCAGTGGTGCCATGTCTGATGCCAGTCTTGTTAAATGGCCAAACCATTTGATTTGTTGTCTACCTATAAAATTCAGAATTGGTTCTGTGCCGTCTCTCCTCCTGATATCATTGTTCCTAAGTTAATCTTACCTCATTACACCTAGCATAGTAAGTAAAAAATGTAAGTTGGTGAATATGGATAAGTCAGGATAAAGGGTAACTCAGTGAATATGAATAAGTCAATATAAAGAGTAACTCCTTGAACATGAATAAGTCAATATAAAGAGTAACTCAGTGAATATAGATAAGTCAATAGAAAGATAACTCCTTGAACATGAATAAGTCAATATAAAGAGTAACTCAGTGAATATAGATAAGTCAATAGAAACAGCAACTCCTTGTACATAAATAAGTCAATATAAAGAGTAACTCAGTGAATATAGAAAAGTCAATAGAAAGATAACTCCTTGAACATGAATAAGTCAATATAAAGAGTAACTCAGTGAATATAGATAAGTCAATAGAAAGATAACTCCTTGAACATGAATAAGTCAATATAAAGAGTAACTCAGTGAATATAGATAAGTCAATAGAAAGAGTAACTCCTTGAACATGAATAAGTCAATATAAAGAGTAACTCAGTGAATATAGATAAGTCAATAGAAAGAATAACTCCATAAAGATGAATAAGTCAATATAAAGAGTAACTCAGTGAATATAGATAAGTCAATAGAAAGAGTAACTCCATAAAGATGAATACGTCAATATAAAGAGTAACTCAGTGAATATGGATAAGTCAATAGAAAGAGTAAATCCTTGAACATGAATAAGTCAATATAAAGAGTAACTCAGTGAATATGGATAAGTCAATAGAAAGAGTAACTCCTTGAACATGAATAAGTCAATATAAAGAGTAACTCAGTGAATATAGATAAGTCAATAGAAAGATAACTCCTTGAACATGAATAAGTCAATATAAAGAGTAACTCAGTGAATATAGATAAGTCAATAGAAAGAGCAACTCCTTGAACATAAATAAGTCAATATAAAGAGTAACTCAGTGAATATAGATAAGTCAATAGAAAGATAACTCCTTGAACATGAATAAGTCAATATAAAGAGTAACTCAGTGAATATAGATAAGTCAATAGAAAGATAACTCCTTGAACATGAATAAGTCAATATAAAGAGTAACTCAGTGAATATAGATAAGTCAATAGAAAGAGTAACTCCTTGAACATGAATAAGTCAATATAAAGAGTAACTCAGTGAATATAGATAAGTCAATAGAAAGAATAACTCCATAAAGATGAATAAGTCAATATAAAGAGTAACTCAGTGAATATAGATAAGTCAATAGAAAGAGTAACTCCATAAAGATGAATACGTCAATATAAAGAGTAACTCAGTGAATATGGATAAGTCAATAGAAAGAGTAAATCCTTGAACATGAATAAGTCAATATAAAGAGTAACTCAGTGAATATAGATAAGTCAATAGAAAGAGTAAATCCTTGAACATGAATAAGTCAATATAAAGAGTAACTCAGTGAATATGGATAAGTCAATAGAAAGATAACTCCATAAAGATGAATAAGTCAATATAAAGAGTAACTCAGTGAATATAGATAAGTCAATAATAAGAGTAAATCCTTGAACATAAATAAGGCAATATAAAGAGTAACCCAGTGAATATAGATAAGTCAATAGAAAGAATAACTCCATAAAGATGAATAAGTCAATATAAAGAGTAACTCAGTGAATATCGATGTCAATAGAAAGAATAATTCCATAAAGATGAATAAGTCAATATAAAGAGTAACTCAGTGAATATGGATAAGTCAATAGAAAGATAACTCCATAAAGATGAATAAGTCAATATAAAGAGTAACTCAGTGAATATAGATAAGTCAATAGAAAGAATAACTCCATAAAGATGAATAAGTCAATATAAAGAGTAACTCAGTGAATATAGATAAGTCAATAGAAAGAATAACTCCATAAAGATGAATAAGTCAATATAAAGAGTAACTCAGTGAATATAGATAAGTCAATAGAAAGAATAACTCCATAAAGATGAATAAGTCAATATAAAGAGTAACTCAGTGAACATGGATAAGTCAAAGTAAACAGGTAACTAAAAAAATAACAACAAAAGTTAGTTGCATATCCTTTACAGGACATTGCAGAACCAACCCTAGCATTTTTTGTGTGTGGCTATAGTGGTTTTTCTAGGCAAATTTACATCCAATAGTTTGCCATTGCATTCTGGACAGTCAGCTTCTCGATACTACTGTCGAAACCAATGCAAGGTGCACAGCCCTCAGTTGGGATCAAACCTGGCACCCCCCCATTACGAAGCGTGTTCGCAATGCCTAAGCTACAGATGCCGACAAAAAAGTAGCAACCAGTATGTAATATAGATAGGTCAATATAAAGAGTAACCTGTGACCAAAGGAAAGTCTATATAAATCAGGAGCCAGTTATTCAACCAAAAATGTTGCCCAGTGCAATTTCGAAGCAAAGACCTTTGAATCAGCAGCCAAGCATTTAGCCACTACGCTGCTACAACCCCTTGAACATGGATAAGCTCAAAAGTGGACAGTTACAGGCAGTAATACTGTACTAGCCAACTTCAGGCTCAAAAGTGTCAGTTACAGGCTGTACTAGCCATGTGGTGCAGGCTCAAAAGTGTCAGTTACAGGCAGTAATACTGTACTAGCCATGTGGTGCTAAAACTTCAGGCTCAAAAGTGTCAGTTACAGGCAGTAATACTGTACTAGCCATGTGGTCCTAAAACTTCAGGCTCAAAAGTGACAGTTACAGGCAGTAATACTGTACTAGCCATGTGGTGCTAAAACTTCAGGCTCAAAAGTGTCAGTTACAGGCAGTAATACTGTACTAGCCATGTGGTGCTAAATCTTCAGGCTCAAAAGTGTCAGTTACATGCAGTAATACTGTACTAGCCATGTGGTGCTAAATCTTCAGGCTCAAAAGTGTCAGTTAAATCTTCACATGCAGTAATACTGTACTAGCCATGTGGTGCTAAATCTTCAGGCTCAAAAGTGTCAGTTACATGCAGTAATACTGTACTAGCCATGTGGTGCTAAATCTTCAGGCTCAAAAGTGTCAGTTACATGCAGTAATGCCGCCGGCTTTGAGTTTTTATTTACTTTTTTTTTGTCTGATTGAAAACACATCTGAAATAATGTCCACAAGTTAAAAAAATTTTTTTTTAAACAAAAGCAAATAAATCCAATTTCTTCTTGTTTTTATTCTTAAAGTCCAAGTCGTATGGGGTGGGTAGTCATGTCTATCTACAACTTTCTGTCTTGCCAACTTTCAATCAACTCTGACACAGAGGATCCTCCATGCCAGGATGTCAGAATGTTCAGCATCTGTTTTCTCTGACTCCCTCTGCCTCTCCTCCCCTCCAACTTTCCTACTGTCACAATGCACTCAAGTTTTCTCCCTCTCATCACACGAACAGAGAATGTAGATTGTCTTTTTCTGATGAGGGCAATCAGTTCTCTCCGTGAATTAGTTCCTTTCAAAACATATTAAATTATCAGCTGTATCCTAATGAATATATATTAGTTAAAGATCCTTATAATGGAGGATGAATGTTTAGTCGATATTAGCATTTGAGGAGTTTTAAGATTTGTTTTTGAGCCAAATGTGTCACTTGAACTGCAATAAGTTCTGTCTTTGTGCAGCTTTTGAATGAAGCCTAAAAAAATGTAACATACCATAACCCAGGAGATAGTAGAACTTCATGGCCCCATAGTTGATTGTCTGCTTCTCTGTAAGCATTCGATAAATGTGCAGCATCTCCACAAACATCCAGGCAAAACAAGCCATATAGAAGTAATGCAGCGATATGGCAATCAGTCGACAGAAAAGCTGTATAAAAAGAAATTTTTAAAACGAACAATGAACATGCTGATATTTTTTCCTAAGGTTAATTTAATGATAAAATGAACAGTTTACCTCTCAGTTCTACAGCTTATTGAAATTTGCACTGGAAGGAATCAGAGGCAAATACATGCACAAACAAGAAGATCAGAAGTTTTTAAACATAAGAATATCATGCAGCTGGGAGCCTTAGTGGTGTAGCAGCTAGACACTTGCCTGTGGATTTGAAGGTTATAGGTTCATTCTACATACCACTGTGTACCACCAGGGAAAGAAAACCCTGACTTTCTCCACCATACGATCAGAATGAGGAGCAACTGGCCAAGCAGTTAAAAACACACAGCTCTTATTCAGGAGACATCAGGTTCAAATCCCTGGAATGGTGATGGATTTTTTTCTGTCGTGGGCAGAAATAAAATCGTAGTCTACACAGTTTGTGGCAACTGCACTATCCATGTGGTCCGAAAACCTCAGGCTCAAAACCCCTCTGTCCTACATCCCCTTTAAAAAGTGGTACAGTTAAAGGATAAAGTCAAAAGGATTGACTTCATTGTATCATGTTTTTGATCCCATGTGACTTGTTCTCTGTTGTAGAATGCTAGCCACCTGCTGAGAATGTATCACAAAGCAAGAACACCTCAGTTCCAGTGACTATCCCTGAGGATCTCCATGAAAACTGCACTCAAGAACCAAGCGACTCAATCGTGAAATGAAGCAAAGACCTTCAGAGTGTGAGGCAAATGGCCAGACCACTTCACCACAGAGACCCTCTAAACAAAAGTTGTAAATACAGACAATAAAGGCAGTTTTACAACAAGAACTTAACCATTAGTCTCACAAACCTCTGGTGAAGTTTTATTAATTCCAATCACATAAGCCAGATCCACAAGGAAGATGGTGAAGATAAGGTTTATGTGAATGCTGTTCCAGTTACACTGCAATCTCCTGAATGTGAAGAGCACGAAGAACGACAGCAGCATCAAAAACAGTGACATGGCTGTCAGGACATACGTAACTGTTTCCATATCAATGATAGGGGGCAGCAGTGTCTGTGAAGAAATAAATATCACATCTGTAATTAACAGCAAAAACAGAAAGATATGATGAAGGTAATCCATTAGTAGACATTACCATTGAAAACAAAAACATCACAGAAAATATTACAAACTTGTTTATTACTAAATGTAAGTATAATAAGAGAGTAAAGAGATTACACAAGTACATGGTTACACAACTGAATTTTTCTGTATTCAAGCTGTATGGTACTGTTACAATGTCCATAGCCTTCTGTCATATTTAATGTAAATTATTTCTTATACATATTTTCTTTCATGCAATGATGGCTAACTCTCCAAAATATTATCTCTTGGTCTCCCTCTCATTCAATTTCCTTTGAACTTTCCCACTGTCATGGCACACTTCAGTCCCCCCCCCCCCCCCTCTCCTCCTCCCCCTTTTTCATACTCTGCTTGGGAGACCTGGGTTCAAATTCTTGGTGAGGCTGTGGATTTTTCTGTTGGGGTCCAAAAAACAAAATCCTAACCAAAATCCTCGATCTCAAAGATCATCTTGTCTATGCTGCAAAAGTGCTGAACACAGGTAATAACGACAGCAGGGCGAGAAGAATGGGGATTCTCTGTTTTCTGATGCAGGTATTTATGAGTTAACTGCTTCCAAGATACCCCAAGTTCATTTTTAACATCTCCATGATGTTATCAATGACACTTTCAACATCTCTGCGATGTTATCTTCATTCTGAAACCATATCTTTAAAACATAATTTGTCACTAAGTGGTTGACTGTCCATAATTCAGTTCCATGCATCAGGTTTGGCCCATAAAGCTCTTAAGATCTCTTTCTCACCTTAATTGAAAAGGATACATGCACAGAAACTTTTAATCCTGTGAAAAGCAACAGCTAAATACAAATACTGATAGTCACTGGAATTTTCAATAATAGCAACAACTGCAGAAGACACTATAAAATGTCCTCCAAGACTGTCCAAAATACAAGATATCAAGGGTAAACTTTTGGCCCAGAGAAAGATTGGTGCAAGTCAGACTTTACGGGTTGCTGAGTTAATTACAAAAGACAGTGAAGTTCATACTAGAGACAACACCGCAGACAGAGATAATCTATTTAAAGCAAACGAAAGAAGAAGAAGAAGAATTTAAAAAGAATGACATCATTTCTTTTCTATTATTAAAGAGTGATTTCTTCAAACAGATGTGTTTTGTAGCAGCAGCAGAATAAAAAGAAAACAACAGAAGAAGAATAAAGAGGAGAATCATAACTGTAACACGTAACCTACGGTTCCATCTGCCACATCAATGATGACAGCGTAAGTTGACATATGGCTGCATTCACAAGTCACGTAGTACTCCTCACAGTGGTCGGACTTGATGCTCACTCTGCAAACAGTATCCTTTATCCTGCAGCCAGAGGTCGTCCATGTACCCGTCCTGGGGGCAAGAAATTTTAAATCAGCTTTTTATTGCAGCTCAACAACAGCAGGATATATCTATGGGCGACACGGCCAGAACAGCAAGAAGCAGAACCTTGACACCAGAAGTGATCAATGAAGAAGTGAAGAAGAAGAAGAAGAAGAATCCACTGTTGAATGAGACATTTCAAACATCAATCTACTGTGGAATGTGTATACATTTAAAGAACATTTCAGTTATTTCTGAAACAGGCGTAGAACTACAGACCGTTTACTAAGGTGAAGGCAAAGATTTGGTGAGAAGATTGTTAAAGTTATCTTTCCTTGAAGTAAGGTTCGACAGGCTGGGAGGGTTGTTGTGATGCGGTGAGCCTAGCTCAAAGGCAAGAGAGAAAGTTAAGGCGATAGTATCATGTATCAATGGTACTTCATGCAGGTCAAGGTGGACACCAGCTAACTACAAGGTAAAAATGGTAACAGTCATGGCTGGTTCTACAGAATGTCATATTTTCGTCTTCTTATGCTTTGCACTCACTGGCTATAAACTTTGACTGCAAGTTCTAGCTGTTGGTCCACTTCTTGGATTTAGTATTTTTCCAGAACTTGAATGTTATGTGCACATCAATTTTACAGATCTGGCTTATTTGTATGCAGACGTAGGTTCCTTGCCTCTCAGACAGATGCACTCTGCCTTCAAAGGAAATGGGTCTACTCCTAAAACATGCTTGTTAGGGATGCAGTTGGTCTTTTCTTGTTTCCCCCATAATGGGAGGAGGGGGAGGGGGATCCACACACGGAGAATGTCACAAAGATTTCTACCTTGCGTCCTTGCTGGACTTGAACTAACTAGGATCTTAAAGCAGATGCAGCCTCGAAGAGAATGCTCAGAATCTATGGCATAGTGTATACATCAATATAACCCCTCCTACCTCTCTCTCCAATCATAGTTACATTATTGAAGAACACCCCAATCCCTGCCAAAATCAAGATGATGAAGGCATGAATATAGAAAGACACAATAAGGGAAATCATCAGCACAAGATACACTCATCAAAACTTAGACCTTCATAAAGTATTTTTTGTTGATGATTCATCAACATGGATTTTAAATTTTTTTTTTTTTTTTAAATTTAAAAATAACCTAAGCTCTCAAGCTCCCACCCTAAATGAGCACCAGGAAATTTCACAGGGAGCTAAAGGCATGTGACTTGATGCAAACTACAGCACTTATTGTGTGCTGAATGCTCTATAAAACTACAGGTCTAGTACCAGATGTCTGATGATTGTCCAAGTGTGAAAAAGGTTCTCAATGCAGTCTCTAATCATAATGCATTTGTAAAATTGTAATATAAAAATTATAAATGCATATTTTTTTGTTATTCCCTAAAAGCATTGCATAGCGTACAGCTGCTACCACACCAACCATAGGAAAGTAAAATGTCACTCACTTGTCATTGGTTGGATTAGGAATCCACCTAGCACAATACATATTGGTCCTGTTGTTTGGCAGCTGTAGCCTCAAAGTCAAGGTTATTGGCTCTCGGATAAATCCTTCGATAATGCTGTCATTGTCAGAGACCACCACTGAAAAGATGGCGCTGTTTACAGTCATTGGACGACTCGTGCGTCTGTAAATAAAACATTTTAGGTCAGCTGTACACTCATGGCATGGCCCATTTGTTAATAAAGATTTAAATATTTAACAAAACAAGGTATCAGGATAGAAATAGTAAGGCAAAAGAAATTATAATGACTGCGAATAAGAAAGATTTAAAGACGGTGAAAATAAAAGGAAATCTTAGAGGGTAACTGCCACAAAGTATTATAAATGCATGCAAATGTAACAACATTATTACAAATAAATCACCAAATCAATCATGTGCCATCTCTACAATAAAAGTCGGCTAAAATGATTTCTTTGTCTCCTCTGCTTGTACACGCTGTGACTGTTGTTTATCCAACTTTTGTTGTTACCGTCTCATCTGCAATCAAAATGTCCCTCCAGTGTGGTTTTTATAAGCTTGTTATGTGTTTTAATGTGGTCAAAATATTTTACTTTTTTCTCATTCCCAGTCTCTTCGGAACTTCTGCATTCAGTTTGTTTTCGTTTTGAAAACCCACATCACACACAAAGATGAAATTCAAAACTATAAGCTTCAAATTATTCAGAAGTATAAAAAGCTCACCTCGTGTAAATGAAGAAATGACAAAATTTTGTTAACAATTTTTAAACACAAAAGTACCTGATAGTGGAATCTGTGTTCATAGAAACATGCTTGCCGAAATCTCTGTAGACCACGTAACTGAAATATGCCCTGGTCAAATCTGGATTATTTTGAGTACCTAAGGGGGGGAAAATGCCACAGTGATAATGAAGGAACATTTGTAATAAAACACTGTTAAGAATTAATTTGCCAAAAACCTTTAAGTGACCTCTTCTAAGATGTACATATATTTTGATATATAAACTACAAAATGTTGGAATTTTTAGTTGTAAACCACAACAACAACAAAATGATGTAAATTTCATTTTCATTTCTTCTATCTTCTTCTAGGGAAATAGAATGAAGCGGTTTATACTTCTAAATTTCTAGAGTTCTGCCATATTTGTTTGCATGCTACTACCACTTTATTTTTTTGTTGCATATAACTTTCATAGTCAATAATTATTTAACAAATATTTTCTCTGATTAATGCAGCCCACAGTAATTGAGGTAATTGTCACACTATCATGTTACCTGTGCAAGTTTCAGGGCCTTTTGGATGGGGGAAGGGGGGAGGGGGCATACCCACTGCCTTACAAGTCAGTTGGGTATCCTTTACAGGATGTTGCATAACCAACCCCAGCATTTTTTGTATGGCTATTGTGGTTTTTCTAGGCAAATTTTATGTTCATTAGTCTGCCACTGCTTTCTGAATGGTCAGCTCTCGGTACCACTGTCAAAATAACACAAGACAAACTGTCCGCAGCTGGGATCGATCCTGGCACCCCGGCATTACTAAGTGTGTTTCACAATGCCTAAGCCAAAGACACCGACCTTCACAGGCATGATGTAAAACATGACTAATTCAGGTCTTCTGAAATTAGATGTGTTAGGCTGAAAGGTGCAGATATTCCAGCTTAGCTGTAAACCACAACCTAATATGCCAACCACCTTTTGAAGGGTAATCACAGAAGAAGTAGAAACAGATCGTGTTTTTGTGTATGTAACTCATGCAAAAGTGATGATGATAGTAAGCAGCAGTGAAAAAAGTGTTTTGACAAAGTTATTAACTCTTTGAGTCCCAGAGGGTTTAGCATCACAGGTCCAAGGGGTAGTCAAGAGAGATGTAAAATTGGCGCATCATGCATTCATTGGGCTTCTAGGCAGTAACCTATAAACATATGATGCGTTTCTTGAGACTCAAAGTTAAGACTCGCTGCTAAAATTTCTGTCACAAAATTGTCATCATCATCATCGTGTGTCAAATCCCTTACAGAATGTGATTCTCATGATACATACAGTGAACAGCTACTATGACTCCTCTTCTTCGTATAGTAAACAGCCACTTAACTCTACATCTTCATACAGTAAACAGCCACTTAACTCTACATCTTCATACAGTAAACAGCCACTTAACTCTACATCTTCATACAGTAAACAGCCACTTAACTCTACATCTTCATACAGTAAACAGCCACTGTAACTCTTCTAGTTCATGTAGTAAACAGCCACTTAACTCTACATCTTCATACAGTAAACAGCCACTTAACTCTACATCTTCATACAGTAAACAGCCACTGTAACTCTTCTTGTTCATGTAGTAAACAGCCACTTAACTCTACATCTTCATACAGTAAACAGCCACTTAACTCTACATCTTCATACAGTAAACAGCCACTTAACTCTACATCTTCATACAGTAAACAGCCACTGTAACTCTTCTAGTTCATGTAGTAAACAGCCACTTAACTCTACATCTTCATACAGTAAACAGCCACTTAACTCTACATCTTCATACAGTAAACAGCCACTGTAACTCTTCTTGTTCATGTAGTAAACAGCCACTTAACTCTACATCTTCATACAGTAAACAGCCACTTAACTCTACATCTTCATACAGTAAACAGCCACTGTAACTCTTCTTGGTCATGTAGTAAACAGCCACTTAACTCTACATCTTCATACAGTAAACAGCCACTGTGACTCTTCTTCTTCATACAGTAAACAGCCACTGTGTCTCTTCTTCTTCATACAGTAAACAGCCACTTAACTCTACATCTTCATACAGTAAACAGCCACTGTGACTCTTCTTCTTCATACAGTAAACAGCCACTGTGTCTCTTCTTCTTCATACAGTAAACAGCCACTGTGACTCTTCTTCTTCATACAGTAAACAGCCACTGTGTCTCTTCTTCTTCATAAAGTAAACATCCACTGTAACTCTTCTTCTTCATAAAGTAAACAGCCACTGTGACTCTTCTTCTTCATACAGTAAACAGCCACAGTAACTCTTCTTCTTCATACAGTAAACAGCCACAGTAACTCTTCTTCTTCATACAGTAAACAGTCACAGTAACTCTTCTTCTTCATACAGTAAATAGCCACAGTAACTCTTCTTCTTCATACAGTAAACAGCCACTTAACTCTACATCTTCATACAGTAAACAGCCACTGTGACTCTTCTTCTTCATACAGTAAACAGCCACTGTGTCTCTTCTTCTTCATACAGTTAACAGCCACTGTGACTCTTCTTCTTCATACAGTTAACAGCCACTGTGACTCTTCTTCTTCATACAGTAAACAGCCACAGTAACTCTTCTTCTTCATACAGTAAACAGCCACAGTAACTCTTCTTCTTCATACAGTAAACAGCCACAGTAACTCTTCTTCTTCATACAGTAAACAGCCACTGTGACTCTTCTTCTTCACACAGTAAACATCCACAGTAACTCTTCTTCTTCATACAGTAAATAGCCACAGTAACTCTTCTTCTTCTTACAGAAAACAGCCACAGTAACTCTTCTTCTTCATTCAGTAAACAGCCACTGTGACTCTTCTTCTTCATACAGTAAACAGCTACTGTGACTCTTCTTCTTCATACAGTAAACAGCTACTGTAACTCTTCTTCTTCATACAGTAAACAGCTACTGCAACTCTTCTTCTTCATACAGTAAACAGCCACAGTAACTCTTCTTCTTCATACAGTAAACAGCCACAGTAACTCTTTTTCTTCATACAGTAAACAGCTACTGTAACTCTTCTTCTTCATACAGTAAACAGCTACTGTAACTCTTCTTCTTCATACAGTAAGCATTCTGTTGCAGCCTTGGCTGGCAGCTGGTCTAGAAGGGAGGATTAGGTGGACAGAGCACTGCACTTCTGATCCCGCACTTCTGAGCGTGCGTTGTTCCAAACATATAGGTGTAACCTTTCCTCTGGAGTAAACAGGGCAGGCCAAGAGAGGAATCATGATGCATGGGGAATAAATGGTCACCACAATAGTGCCCAGGTTTTGAGCTATAGCAGGCACTTTTCACACTCCCCATCATCATAGGCTGTGATTCCCATGCCTCCACACAGCACAAAATAACACAACCACCCCCCTCCCCCACCCCATCCTTAATAGTACACAAACAGAATGCATGATTAAATATTTAAATGGGACCCTGCCCTGCTGCTTTGCAGCGAACAACATGAAGGACTAAATGCACTAACCACTATTAAATTACAATGTTTCTACCCCTTCACAGTAAACAACTAAAGAGCATTTCCCTACAACAAACAATAAGAAAAAGACAAACTCTACCAGCAGTAGGTTGGTGAAACAGCGATGGTGGGAATGTCACAGCCGCCTCTTTGTCTACAGATCCTTTCTTGACATTGTTGTCATACTTTGGAATAGTTGCTCCAGTAAAGTTGTAAATGTTGATCCAGTCTGCTCCCAAAACTGTTTAAATACAAACATAATCAAACACAACAAGGATTCAGTATGTGAGGCTCATGAACTCAATAGCATAAAGGTTGTGTTATTCCTATTATTTCCTGGAACTAGGACTGCTGCACTGTTCTCCTGCTTTTTACCTCCCAAGTGAGTTTTCAATCAGGTTTTCTCTACTAATGTGAGCACTATTTCGTCTGTACATTGTTAGTATTATAATTTAATAAATAGGACATACATTTTATGGGATTAGAAGAGTGTCTTTCAAATAAAATACTCTCCCCATGTGTGTTCCAGGCTCCACTGAAAAGGGGGGGGGGGGGGGGGGGGGGAATAAACCTAATGACCCTAACAAGCATGTTGTCAAAGGCGACTAGTTAGGGGTGTTTCCTTAAAAGTTTGACTGCACCTGCCTGAGAGCAAGGAACCAACAGTGTGCACACAAGTAAGCCAGATCTGTAAAACAGATGTGCACACAAAACCCAAGTTCTGGAAAAAAGACTAAAGCCCAGAAGTAGATGAACAACCAGAGCTTTCAGTCAGAGTTTACAGCTGGTAAAAGCGAAGAAGAAGAAATTAAATACTGAACTGCAATATTACTTGACTTAAATGTCGAGCACACCAGCCAATGGGTACCATTTGGTCTATAATATGTCTAGCATCATATGCCTGCTGCTTCGCTGGTGTAAACAGGGTCCTTTAGTTACTTCTTCATTTCCTTTTTTCCGACTTTTGGTGTTAAACGAGATGTATGGTTCTGCTTGTTGCTCTTCTGGCCACCTCGACTACAGACACATTGTGTTGTTGTAGTTTTTCGTGTTCTTGGTCTTTCTCCATATTCTACGTCCTCCACCTCTTTTGAAGTATGCCTTACATGGTACAGCTTGTTTACTTGTAATTTATTTCAATGATGTGTAGTATATTTCAATGATGTGTAGTATATTTCAATGATGTGTAGTATATTTCAATGATGTGTAGTATATTTCAATGATGTGTAGATATTTTTGAAAGAAATAATGAAGGTCCCCTTTTTCTTTGTCCACAAAATGTATTTAAAAAAACATTTCAGTAAATGCAAATGCAGGCAACTGATATTACAAATGACATTTTGAACTTAATTTAATTTAATTTATATGAAAGAAATGTGAAATCTGCCATTAAATCTTTATATATCATGTAACTTACAATATATATACAGTCTACTTTTCTGGCTTCCTTCTGTCAAAGACTATTGACACATTCACACACTCTATCCCATTTGTAAATTTAGCTCCTTGTGAACCACAGTGTTTCTATCTTCTTCTTCTTCTTTGTGTTCAATCAGCTGTCAACTCTGTCGGAAAGTTCTGGTTGTTTATCCACTTCTGGACTGCAGTCCTGTTCTAGAACCTGAGTGTTGCATGTGCATCCAGTTTACAGATCTGGCTCATTTGTAAGCAGACTGCTGGTTCCTTGCCTCTAAGGCAGATGCACTCCGACTTTGAAGGAAGCTCCCAATTAGTCGATTCTTACGACATGCTTTTGGGTAGGCAGTGGGTCTATTCTTGTTTTCCCTAAAATAGGGCCCCGGAACCCATACAGGGAAGTGATTCTATGATTTGGTTGGAAGCAATCGTGGACTGCTATAAAGACACTCTTATAAACAGAATCCTCTCCCGAAAGTACTGAGGTACATATTTTGTACATGTCAAGCAAAATAGAGTTCTGGAGAGAAAATGGTGATAAAGGTGGCAGTTTCTGGAAAACGAGACGTAGGCTGACCTTTGTGAAGGTGGACACAGGATACTGAAGATGCATTGGCTGTGAAAGCAAACAGGGCTGAAGAATTGGCTAGAGAAAGAGAGGGATGTTCTGTAAAGGACATGCTGACTGATGATGATGATAGTGACACTATAATGTCTCCAGTTAGAAAGAAGTAAATTAATTATGGCTGGCACCAAAAGATTTAACCACCAAACTCTTAGTTTAGCAGTTATTTCAAACGGTGGCTAAGGAAGTAAACTGCTGTCACATTTGAGGATTTTTGTTTATATCTGAAAGTCAAAATCCTCACCCATGTCATCAGAAACAGCTTCAAATGTCCCGGACTGTGCCTGAGGCAGAAGCTGCACAATCTTGGTGATGAATTTTTCAAATAAGTTCATGAGATGTGTGGCTCCACCTGTTAGTTTGCCCGCTTGCTGCCAGTAATCTGTGTATTTTTCATCCGTTACATTGCTTAAAACTACCAACAGTTTCTGAAAAGGTAAGATATTTTATTTTATAGATTATTAATGTTAAACATGTTTCATTTCATTTTTAGATCAACATAACCCTCTGAAATTTCATGAACGCTTTCACTAATACAAAAAATCCAAGAGCATCTGCCAGCAACAAATGCATACATTTTGGAATACATTAATAAAACAAATTCTAAAATAACTTTTACTTAATAAAATAGGGCAGGGTATATGGCAACTATATAGATAATGGCAAAGAGAATTAGATGCAGAGATGAACAGCTAAGGAAAGATATAAAATAAGCTGCAGAAATTAATAAAACATAGAAAAGCTTAACGTTTGATTTAATTTTAGATCTCTCACATCTGATTTTGCCATTAAGATAGTGAGAGAGTGTGAGTGTGTGTGTGTGTGTATTTATGTATGTATGCAAGCACAAATGTGTGGAAACATATGTATTTTTACAAAGCCTCACTACAATTTATAACTCTTTTTCATTTTATTCAGTCTTGTTATTTTTTCCTCTGAGGTGTAGAAGTTCTTTACATTTTAAGAAAACTTTAGTAGTTTGTTAATACGCCCAATATGGGACACACATTTTGTTTATTGTTATAATAAGGCTTCACCCCAGTTGAACAGGGTTTTTAGGACTTGCACCTGTGTTTCTCGTCTGAAGGGTGGCACTTTGTGTCAGCGGGAGTTTATCATTTGCTGCGTGGTCCTGATGAGGCTGAATAACACTCACTAAAAACTTTGGTATATTTATATATAAATCAATCCTTACTAACACATGACTGCAGGAGTGAACTAGGTCTGTACTTTGTGTGGTCTTAATTACAATTTCCTAGGAAGCTGAAGTGCAACTGAGATTTGCCCTTTTGGTCTCTTATCCACGATGCAGCTCTCAAAGTCTCAGGGATGGTCAACTCTTACCTGAACAAAGTCCCGATACTGTTGGCTAATCATGCCCAGCCCAGTCTGAGAGATCTCGTAGTTCAGTGTAACGTTGGTGAACCTGTACACCATCATGATGTCCCCGCCATAGATAGGGCTGGTTGTATAGGATACATTCTTCAGCAGTGTGATTGTGTAGTCGGCTATGTATGGACTTATGACACCAGCTTCAAAGTCCTTTAGCTGTCAATAAACAAGGGTTAAAAAACAATTAATTGTATATCCATTACAGGACGTTGCAGAACCAACACCAGCATTCTCACCTGACTTATTATTTTTGTTACTGTTACTTGTTGTCTGTATCAACATTCTAGAACATTGATCCGACACATTTCTAATATCCTGGCACAATGGTCTGACCCACTTGTGCTCCATCCTCCGATGCAGCAGCCTTGCTCAATGTTTCCAACAGGAATTGGACTCGCATATCAACAGGAGCTTCATTATCTCGGTCTCCTTTGTCTCAATGTCTCTGAAATGGATTGCATTCAATATGTCTTACTGTAAGTACTTCTTCCTCAACTAACTACTGCAGACATGGCCAGTATGTCACCTCTTTTACTTCCTTTCACCCCAGCATTTCCTGGTGTAAACAGCCAAGATAGTTTCTTGAGGCATGACTTCCGGATGATGTCAACCCATTCTAGTCAGAATTTGTTAGTTTTGATCTTAGTCTTTTTGTAAAAACCTGAATGTGATGATCTTAAATATTTCATTAAATATCCCACTGATGTAACATAATGCAAATTAATGCATGAACTTCTTTCCATCTGGAAATGTTCTATTTTGAAGCTTATAATGTCTGAGCTCCATCTCCCCTTTCCAAAATTAAAATAACAAAACTCTGGGGCAGAAGGAACTAAAGTAACAAATATGATATAATGTGTTTATTTAGCAACTGTCTGCAAAAGAAGAGAGTCAGAGAAGTACAATATCAATAGATTAACTAACGGATGTGTAATGTGTTGAATGGCAGAGAAAGAGTTACATGTTCTGAAACATATTCGTTGACAAAGATACACTGTCAAACAACGAAACTGTCTGGGTTTTTTTTCTTCGATGCAACAACAGTCCTAATTATTGAAATCATCTCATCTTTAAGTACAACTTTCACAGAAAATAACGCACCTGGCTTTCATATTTAAGGAAACTGTCACTTGTGCATCCAAACAGATCAGATTGTAACCAGCTGTTTTTCTGTGTACATTTTCTTTTAGCAGTTCCTGGAAGAAGAAGATGGATGTCTTATAACTAGCATTATCTTTTATTATATCTAATCACAACTGTTACTGACCAAAAAGAAAAAGAAAATTTAAAAAATATCCAAAAAATATTTGTTTTTACATTTCTGACAGCAAACAAAAACAACTGGCAACTGTATTCAATTTTATATCTGGCATCAAGCAGTATTAATATCTGGCAACAAGCAGTCTTAATATCTGGCATCAAGCAGTCTTAATATCTGGCATCAAGCAGTCTTAATATCTGGCATCAAGCAGTCTTAATATCTGGCATCAAGCAGTCTTAATATCTGGCAACAAGCAGTCTTAATATCTGGCATCAAGCAGTCTTAATATCTTGCATCAAGCAGTCTTAATATCTGGCATCAAGCAGTCTTAATATCTGGCATCAAGCAGTCTTAATATCTGGCATCAAGCAGTCTTAATATCTGGCATCAAGCAGTCTTAATATCTGGCATCAAGCAGTCTTAAATATCTGGCATCAAGCAGTCTTAAATATCTGGCATCAAGCAGTCTTAAATATCTGGCATCAAGCAGTCTTAATATCTGGCATCAAGCAGTCTTAATATCTGGCATCAAGCAGTCTTAATATCTGGCATCAAGCAGTCTTAATATCTGGCATCAAGCAGTCTTAATATCTGGCAACAAGCAGTCTTAATATCTGGCATCAAGCAGTCTTAATATCTGGCATCAAGCAGTCTTAATATCTGGCATCAAGCAGTCTTAATATCTGGCATCAAGCAGTCTTAATATCTGGCATCAAGCAGTCTTAATATCTGGCATCAAGCAGTCTTAATATCTGGCATCAAGCAGTCTTAATATCTGGCAACAAGCAGTCTTAATATCTGGCATCAAGCAGTCTTAATATGTGGCATCAAGCAGTCTTAATATCTGGCATCAAGCAGTCTTAATATCTGGCATCAAGCAGTCTAAATATCTGGCATCAAGCAGTCTTAAACATGACTTCACCTAATCTCAAATGTGCATTATTTAGTATTATTTCAAATCGTATCAAGGACTGACCAAACACAATAAAAACAAAAACTCAAACAATATATACTTTTTTTTTTAAACTTCAGACAATGTAGTTTAAAAAATAAAACAACCAACCAGTAGCGCCTGTTGGACAGTCCTGTTTGGCTTCCAGACCAAAAGCAATCTGGTCCCACCATATTCCATCAGCATGGTTTCTTGGGCACCCATCATAGGAGACTAAGGAAAGCATAAATAAAACAGTCACTTTCAGCTGTTTAAATTTGTCACACAACAAATGAACTCATTTAATCTAAGGTAAATACTAAAAAATACAATCTAAATGCATGAACATAATTTCATAAATTTTTCATAAAATCAATTTATACTACTTCTGTCCCAAACAATTCTGAATTGGGAGTCGATGATAACTGACAAATTATGAATATACAACTTTTAAAGAAGCTTAAAAACACTGTATGAATAATACATATAAGTGGTCAGTAGGAAAATCCAAATTTCTTTAATACTCTCTGACCAAATGGGAAAAAGTTCAACAGCATATTATATGATGGTTGAGATTCAAAGTCAAAGAAGGTAAACCACACATCACATGTCATTTGGTACTGAACAAATGACACAGTCAGTTAAACCTCTGTTGCATTTTTGTGTGTGGTTAAATCACAACAACCTTGCATTTTTTTTTTTAAAAATCAAATAGCCTCTGATATAGTAAGTATTGTTTTATATTCAGGGCCTGTAGCATGGGACATGGGACATACTTTTCCTGCAAGGACATTTTGACCAGGAGTGGACATCTGCCTTTAAACAGCTATACTATTTTATGTGATTGTATCAACTGTTTGAACTGTTATTTCCAGATGAAAGCTCTAGAGTCGCAACATTTATTTTCCCACTAGTGAGACTGAATGTTTTTGGGGGGGGGGGGGGGGGGGAGGGGGGGGGGGAAAGGGGGGGGGGTGTGTTAAGCAACTGATCAGTTTTACATTCCCTTTCAGGAGATTTTGTCCACTTGTTATGCGGCGATCATCATCAATAAAGTAAAAGTAAGTATGGGGTTTTTTCACACCACTGGCGTACTTGGCATATGATGTTAGACTATAGTTATAGACCAATCAGCATTTGAGTGCTGTAGTCAAATTAAGGCTGGACACCTTTACTTTCTAGGACTTTACCTGGTATTCATTTTTGGCTGGGTTGACCTGGGAGCCAAGGTTATTTTTAAAAAGCATCTTAATTATGTATATGATTAAAAGGTGACTAGTCAAAAGTATCAGTAACACAAAATAAATATAATCGCAACCAGCCCCAATACAAGCCTCTTGTCCATTAATAAATAGTTAATATAATAATTGGCTTGAAATTATGGAAAAATCTGACCTATTCAGTGGTAATATGATGTCAAATGTTAAAAGATGTAAAATTCTGATAAAAAGACTAGAATTTCTCAATTAACAAAATGTAAATACACACAAATCTCCCATCTAGGCACTTCCTACATCATAACCTTACCAAGTTTCCATATAAACAGTCCAGAATTCCCCATGCATAATTCATTCGCTGTCCTGTTGTGCCATTATATGTCACACAGAGCTGACAGTCTCTTTCTCCCTTCCATTCTATCATGTACAGCCACTTCGATGTCATGGACAGAATCCAGTCCAGCACCGTTGGCGTCTCTCTTCAGGATCACCAAGGTGTCCACGACATGGAGGTGACAGCCATTAAATCTAGCCATTCCAGCGACAGAGTCCGCAAGTCTCTTGTATATCGCTTTATTTATACTCTGGGGACTTTGACGCCCTCCGGAATGAATTGCCAACACAGTTTCATTTAAACTTCCAGGTGATTGAACTGCCCTCACAATTTCAACCCCTACACCCCAGTTATGGCCCCTGATACTCCACAGGGGGGTATTTATTCCCCCAGCTGACACGTGCGGTCATTCTGCTGAGTAACAACCGACCTGGCCGCATTGTGATACCAGCTAAGTGATTTTTTTGTATCTATGTAGTATTGTTTATTTTGTGTGTGCTGATGAAGGCTCAATAGCCACAACGTTCACGTTTTGTTTGTATTTGTTATATTGTGAAGCTTGCTAATATACTTTTCGTTCGGGTTTATATCTTTTCATCAACACTCTCATTAGGGTTTTCCTTGGATGTCATTGTTCCCTCAATCCCCCTATATCTCATTTCAGCACTAGTTTAGTGATTCTCTGTTAGTCTCTTCTAAGAATATGTCTAATATATCATCATCTTCCCTGTCTTATAACTGTTGATACTAGTGGTTGTCCAGACATAATAGAACAGTCAAATAATTTTGATGACTGACTTTTTTGGTTTAGAATAGAGTAAGTCACACAGAAACTCACCAAGGCAGGTAACCACTTCCACGTAAGCTGTATCGTTGAGCTTCTTCTGTGTGTTGGTAACAGCAGCGAAAATGCTGTCACACTGATCACATCGTCGGCCTATAACTCCATCGTAGCACTTACACTGACCCGTAGTGGGGTGGCAAGCCATGTCTTTAGAGCCCAGTTTGTAGCAATCACAGGGGTAGCAGGTGTCACCACCAGGCGGCAAATAATGCAGTGCCTTAAGAAGAATTTAAGGACAACAATCATGAGAAACATATTTACAGGTATTGATTAGCAGCCACTGAATGCTACATCTACAGTTAACTTCAACTCCTAAAGTGAACTAAGAATCCTATTTTAAAGTTAACTTCTAATCCTACAGTTAATTTCTAATCATATTCTAAATTTAACATATCATACTACATTCTTTCTCATTATATCATTAACTTCTAATCCTAAAGTAAACTTAGAATCCACACTTAAACTTAAATGCAAATCAAATAGGTAACTTGTAATAACATCTTAAAGTTAACTTATAATCTCGTAGCTAACTTCCAACACATTGCTGGTATTAACTACTCAATGTTATCTTCCCACATAAATCACAGCTCCACCCTTGCTCAGTTATATTCTACTTTTCCCTCCACAAGGGATTTTATAAAACTTTTATCATATGAGCAACTTCAATGTCTACATTTGGAACACTAAACATGTTACTCACTCGGCATGTGCAAGAACCATTATCCTTGTTGCATGACTCTTCAAATCTCTTATTCTGAGCACAGTTACAAGGACCACAGACTGGCTTGCCCCACCAGGCTACAGGGCAGGTCAAAGGTGCCTGGTTCTCACAGTACTGACCACTCTGTCTCACTCCACACTCACAGTAGTAGGACTTGTGGCCATCCTCTGGCTGCTTGCACTCTGCCCAGTTCTTACAAGGGTTGTAATTCTGGCAGATATCAAGGCATTTGGGCCCAGTTGTGCCTGTGAAAGAGTAGACAAATTACTGAAACTTTCTTCAACATACATCTGGTCGAGGCAATATATTTCCATTGTGAATTTCAACACAAACACAAACAATAGGTTGTACAATGCCCATTTGATCTTCCAGTATATTCCCTTACTCCTTTTAGGCTTGGAAAACGTGGAATGTCTGGTAACATTTTTAAAAGGTGCTCTAATTACACTGGGCTGGGTGTGGAGGGATTGGCCAGCTGGCACTGCAGAATCTGAAATTCAATGTATTCCTGATGATAACTCCTGTCTAGGTGATGTGATTATACAGATGGCTCTGTGCTGAGGCAGAACAAGTGCATGGAGGCTCAATGCAAAAGCAAATTAACGGGGCCTGGTGCAACAAATCCTAACATATGACACAACAATATTTAGTTTGAGAATGGAGGTGGAGGCAATCAAAGTAGCTTTCCCCTGGCTTGAGAACAAGTGGCAAACATATGTTGTGATTGTAACTGACCCATAAAACATGCTGACAAAGGTTGAGACAGGGATGCTCTGTGCACAGTGGCAAGCATCACTTTAGAGGACCCATGCAGTTAGCATCCTTGAGATATTTTCTTCAAGGTGTGCAATTGTCTTGGAAAATGGACAGCTGATTCTACACTAATGGGTGGTGAATTGATGCATAGCAAGCAAGATGTTGTCACAGCTCTTATGGGGAAAGTGAACAATGCAAAATCACAAACAGATCATTATGGTCTGGAAAACCTGGTGCAGCTAGGAGTGTCTCATCATCATCATCATCATCATCATGTGCCCTGCCAACTGGCGTAGGCGCTCATGCGTCTCCACAGATCACGATCCCTGGTTGCCTGGAACAGCTCTCTGGATGACATCCCTCCATGCCATCGTTTCAGCCCATCCAGCATCATCTCTCTTGGTCTGCCTCTACCCCTTTTTCCACTGATCTTTCCAGCTGTCACAATGTTCTCTAATATCCCTCTTCTAATTATGTGGCCAAAGAACAGTGTTTGTCTCTTTCTTATTAGGAGTGTCTCATGTACTTTAAATCAATTTTGACACATATGGTCTACCATGACATGATGTTAATGTCCAGCATCCTCTATCTCTTTTCCCACTGTCATGATGTACTCAAGCTTTCTCCTTCTCGTGACATGACCACAGGAAGTAGTTTCTGTCCTTCTGATAATTTCTTCTGAATCAGCTCTCTTCAAGTCATCTTCTTTACTCTTTTTAATAACCTGTCAAGGGTAGAGAATACTTACTACAACATTAACTAACAGTTAGGTTCAAATGTCTCACCTGGCGGACATTTGCAGCTGTAACTGTTCCATTCATCCTTACACTGTCCAGCTCCACATGGATTTGGCTCACACACATTTGAGCCACCACAACCATTCTCAACATTTGACTCTGATGGGCCAAGCAGGAATGATTGCGCACTGTTGCCCACACGAACGTCCTAGTAAACAAAAACAGAACAATCAAAATAATGAGAAGTCATGTATGATTAGATCTGGCACAATTAATGACCAGTTTCCATCAATCTTCTATCACAATAACAGGTTAGATATTTAAATATTCTTTACTACAGTCTGATCATGCAGAACTTTGTGTGTATTAGTTATATTAGAGACTACAAAACTGTGATTGATACGCTGTATTGTAGTGGTAGGATAGCATATCTGCGCTTTATGGCCTAACACATGGGATTTTCAGCCAACCCCAAATTAGACACATTTTATTAAATGTGTATTAAGTGGGCAGTGGAATATACCCCCCACCAATACAGCTCTGAAACCCACATAGGGATCCATCTATCCTATGTGCCACATCGGTGACCAGAAAACTGTATATTGCCTATCTTTCTTTATGTTGTTCTGAGATATGTACGCAGAACTGACAAAGGTGATAAAAGGCATATGGAGGCATGGAAGATCTGGTGATATTAAAGAATGACAAGAGTCACCTGGGTTATGAAACTGAAAAGGGTTAGGAAAATTATGACAGAACAAAGCAGATTTATTATAGTAATACAAAGAGAAGGTTTTTATTATGACCTGGAACATTCTAAGATGGGGGGGTGGGGGGGGTTTAAAGTAGTAAAATAAAAAGCAAAATACTTGGCAAAAAGTGATAGGGTGGTCCTACAAAAACGTACATAAAGCAAGCATGACCTGATTTACTGATGAAGACAAACAAGGACTTGAAGAGAGTGGCAGAAGATAGACAATGATGGAATGAAAAGATCTGGAATGTGTATGATCTGATAAAAGAGTTTTAAATGCTTTCTGATGAAGAAGAACCTGCACACTGTAATGTATTAGCTAGGAAAATCAACTGTTGCCATTAATGCCTCCACTAAAAACCAAAATTGGCCTTCTATAACATTCTGGCCGCACACTGTTTTTCCATCTATTAATGTTATCTTTGCACACATATTATTCTTACTTTTAGTGAATCTACCTTCAGTTTTCCCTTACAATTTAGTTTTTAATAAAAGCTTCACATATTTTAATATGGTTAAAATATTTTCCTTGTCTCTTTATTTCTTTTACCTGATGCTTTGTGTTTCTAGTCTCTCTGTAGTTAACGTATTTAATTATTTTTGTTTATATAAAATATGATATATGATGATGGGACAGAAAGAGTTGAGGTGTCACACAAAAAACTTACCTTAAGACATCCTTTGAAGTAATTCTCCATAGATTTATTTCCATTCTTTGATGCTCCAACGTATATGACTGTGATGATCTTTCCCACAACAGATGTAGATGTATTGAATGTCTGAAAGATAATAGATATTTACATGCACTATGGATGACTGTGTCTATGGGTGCACATGTATGTGTGTGTATATATTTCTTCTTCTTCTTTGAATTCACCAGCTGTAAACTCCAGCAGAAAATTCTGATTGTTTGTCCACTTCTGGACGTGTATTGTTCCAGAACTTGAGATTTGTATGCACATCCATTTTACAGACTTGGCTTATTTCTAAGCAGATTTCATTTCTTGCCTACCAGGCAGATGCACTTCGACTTTAAAGGAAACACCCCGAATTAGTAGACTTTTACAACATGCTCATTTGGGGGGTGGGGAATCAGTGGGTGTACTCCTCCCCTCCACTACCAGGGCCTTGGAAACCATACATGAATGCGTATATTCAAATGCATTTAATTATTCCGTTATGCATATGCAATTCAAGATAAGATTAAGCTAAGAAACGTAAAATAAAAGTAAAGCTCCCTTTACACATGTGAGAAACCCTGATAACAAGATAACTAGAATGTCTCTCTACTGGAAGCATAGGGTCAACGGAACAGAGGCAGACTAAAAACATGGAGAAGGGAACTAGAGAGTGTAGTGAAGAGGATAGCGAGGACATGGGGTGAGCTGCATGCTACAGCAAAGGATAGGACAACCTGGCATGAGCTGGTTGAGGGCATATGCTCGACTGGAGGATAAAAAGAGAAAGCATCCTTGGTGCACTGGTGTATTGAGTATATAAATAGATACAAGTTGAATGAAAGTACTTTTATTTCATGTCACTGAAATATAATCCCCTCAAAGGGAATATGAGCACAGGGCAGACAGGCAAACATGCCAGCCACTGCATTACCACAGTTCCCGCAGACAATTAATTTCAGACACAACAGACAAATTGGGGGTAACGCTGCAACAAAACATTTTAAGTGAGATTAAGTAAGATATGGTCCTAAAGAAGGCTGTCTCAAGACACCAGACAAAAGACACTTGAAAATCCTTACAAATGACATTTAATATGCTTGAGCGCATTCAAACATGTACATCTCTCTATTCATGAACACTGAGACATACATAGGTTGCTCCAGGATAAAAATGGGTATCAGGAAATATTTTGGGAAGTAAAGGCAACCAAAGTGACACTGACCACACTGTGTGTTGATTGGACTATACAAATATGGGACTAGCACTAAATCAAACTCAACACTGTATTAGTTACATGCCTCTAGCTTCACAGGCTAGGTTAGAGTGAGCTAAAGTAACATGTGTCTGGGAATAAAAGAATTAACTCTTCTGGTCCTACAAGGTCCGAGCTTACGTCCAAGGGAGTTATGAAAAGCAATATAAAACTCATGGGTATACTTCTTCCAGAGAGACCAAATGTACAACCCTTGCAGGAAACACATATATTGTCAGAGTCCCTCACTAACTAAATATAAAATGTATAAACATATTCAACCATTCTGACTGGTATAAGTGAATAAGATCCAGTCACACACAGTGCCTTGTTTGGGTCAGAAAGAGTTAACCGTGCTGTGAACGTTTATCTGCTAACAGTGTCACACACAATTTTATTTAAATATTGTATCTATCACATTCATTAACAATTTGATTATTTGCACACTTTTCAAACATCACAAACAATATAGTAACTGACCCGATCATATTGGCCATAGTCTAGAAACATGTCCAAGGTGTTCTGATACCATCGGATCTCAAAATAGTGCCACTTTCCATCATCCACTCGTATCCCATCTAGCAACAGTACCGTACTCAAGTGGCTGTATCGAATACTCCCATCAACAATCTGGAAAGCAAACACATTCAATGCCTTAGACACTGCAAATGAATGCAATACACATAGTGTATGAATGAACATACGTAGTCTGTAGTTTTGTTTTCCTATGGAAAAAGTAAAATACCTCCCAGTGAGAAGATTTACACACAATAACACTTAAAAAAGAAAGTTTCTAGAGACAACTGTGACAATTTAGAAGATGAGGTAGTGCTGTTTTGATACATGGGCCCACTGGGCCTAACAAACATAGGGGCCCTGGCTAATCTGTGTATGGCAAGTGACTTTCAACAAATCAATAATCATTCATTTCTGTGAGTGTTTGTCGTTGGGGCCCAAGCACACTGGTTTGCCCAGGGGCCCATAATGGCTCTGAGATGGGGGACATCAGACAAAGAGATTAATTGAGAAAAATGATGCTAGGTTGGTTGATACAGAGGTAAGAAAATGTGACGGATGAACAGCAATCTTGAAACTGTGTACAAACAGGTGATAATGTGGGTATTCCACTGAAGCCATGCAGCCAGTCTCCATTATGGAGATGGCGCCTGACTGACTGATACGTCTATAGTAGAACAGAACTAACTACAAGAGTTTCTCACAATGTCTGTTCTTACTTGTCAAATGAGATTTCATTAAATATATGCTTCTACTGCCACCTCTTTAGTTCCTCTTTCCTATCTTGTTTTTGAGATTCTTCATCTTTTTTGTGTTCACCGGTTGTAAACTCTGGCAGAAAGTTCTTGTTGTTCATCCACTTCTGGAGTTTAGTTGTGTTCAAGAACATGAGTTTTGCATACACATCCTTTTTACAGATCTGGCTTGCTTATATGCAGCCTGTTGATTCCTCATCTCCCAAGCAGACACACTCTGACTTCAAAGGAAACATTCCTAATTAGTCGACTTTTATGACATGCTTATTAGGGGGGCAGTGGGTACATTCTCCATCACAATGGGGCCCAGTAACAAACACAGGGAACTTGTCGAATGAGATTACAATAAATATATGCTTCTAAAGCCCACTCCTTTGTTCTTCTTTCCTACATTCTTTTTGAGATTTTTCAGAAACAAAACCCCAAAATATAAATTATCACCTAAATAATTTTTCAACATTGAAAACCAAAAAAAGGTGAAACAATTTCAGATTAAAAAAAAAAAATAAACTGCAAATGTATAGCTGTCATATGTGAAGATGTTTTACCTGGATCCTAACTTCCCCAGAATTCAGCAAGATTTGCATGAGTACACCATTGGGGTTTCTGGTTCTGAAAGCTATTCCGTTGAACCATGGGTAGCGAATCACAGGCTGTGGAGGACTGCTGTAAGACAGATAGCCACTGCCACTAATCTGCCTAGATTTTTCAATGGCTGAAAGTACAAGCAGAAAGAATGCTATACACTAAAACTAGTTTCAAAAGAATACAGTTTCAAAAATAAAACAAACAAACTGCATATATTTCTGGCCAAAACCACTACTATGAAAGCCAGCTTCCAACTCTTAATTAATCAGTGTATAATTCATAATATTGTTTGAAACAATCTGACAGTTGTTATTGTTACAACTTCAAACTTCTTACAAGTGGGGCCAGTTTCTTCCAGGTCATAAACTACTATTATAGTAGCCTTGTTATACCAATGTTATATCATGCCACAATATTACAAAGCTAAACAGATTAAACAATAAACACGGCTAAATTATAGCAATCTTGGCAGATGGAGACAAAATGCCACATACTACATAAAATCAGGATGAGACTCCAGAAAAAAGGACCAAGCGGTTAATTAATTACCAACATAAAATGAAAGTGTTTGGGTATTAACAACTGAAGTAATGTCTTACATTTCGACGCAGTAATGTTTGCATTGATAAACATATCTATCCAGAGCCATTTGGCTTGTGAATAGTCAGTCATTTTGGATACAGATATTCTTCCATATCATGACACCAAACTACCCAATATCTTCTCTCTTGGTCTTTCTCTGCCTCACTTCCTTTTAACTTTCGCACCATCCTGGCATATTCCAGGTTTCCTTTCTCACATAATCCTTAAGAATATAGACTGGCTACTTCTGATGTATTCCCATGCTTTCCCATCACACAATATAGCACTGTCATCTGTAAAGTTGCAAAGGTGCCATCACATACTTCTGATGTACTCCCATGCCTTCCCATCGCACAATATAGCACTGTCATCTGTAAAGTTGCAAAGGTGCCATCACATACTTCTGATGTATTCCCATGCCTTCCCATCGCACAATATAGCACTGTCATCTGTAAAGTTGCAAAGGTGCCATCACATACTTCTGATGTACTCCCATGCCTTCCCATCGCACAATATAGCACTGTCATCTGTAAAGTTTGCAAAGGTGCCATCACATACTTCTGATGTATTCCCATGCCTTCCCATCGCACAATATAGCACTGTCATCTGTAAAGTTGCAAAGGTGCCATCACATACTTCTGATGTACTCCCATGCCTTCCCATCGCACAATATAGCACTGTCATCTGTAAAGTTGCAAAGGTGCCATCACATACTTCTGATGTATTCCCATGCCTTCCCATCGCACAATATAGCACTGCCATCTGTAAAGTTGCAAAGGTGCCATCACATACTTCTGATGTACTCCCATGCCTTCCCATCGCACAATATAGCACTGTCATCTGTAAAGTTGCAAAGGTGCCATCACATACTTCTGATGTATTCCCATGCCTTCCCATCGCACAATATAGCACTGTCATCTGTAAAGTTGCAAAGGTGCCATCACATACTTCGGATGAGAATTATTCATTCTCTTCATGAGCTAATATTTTTTTTAACGAAGATATTTTCATTAAGATCTTTAGCTGTCCACTGAGTTCTCATCTTCTTCTTTTATCTGGCACAATACACCCAGAGGAAAGGCAAAACTACGACCTGTACCTTTATTATTGGAACTCTGCGCTGGCTGCTGAAGATGGGGACGGAGCACACATGGGAATGTACCGATTACTGTGATGTCAATTCTTGACTTAACTGAACTCTTTTATGTTCGCCCTCAAAAAAGAGTGGTTGACACGCTGTGTTGAACCATTGCCCCCAGCCCCACATGCACACACACATGCACGCACACACACACACAAATCACACCTTCTTTATGAGAATAATGGCCCCCAAAAATTCAAAAAATTAACAAATTCATCAAACTGCTTAAGAAATATTGTTGTTATGAATGTTTTCATATCCTTACTCTGGCTGCAGTCTTTCCCTCCAGTCAGCTCAGGGCAGTCACACAGGAAAGTATTCCAACCTTCTCTGCATTTTCCTATAGAAAAAAAAAAGTATACTGTAAAAGTCAGTGGATAACATAACTACTATTTTTAATAACCTATACCATGTTGGTCACAATATTTGTCCAAACCCTTCTAGTGTACTACCAATACGTAAGATAAGTATACACATATATGATCATTCATTCCATGATACAAAGCTCAATTATTCAATATCCTCTCTATTCACAACCCCCCCCCTCCCCCCAACCTTCCCTTCTCTATCTCTCTATTCCCTCCAGTTTTCACAATGTACTCCAGAAGAACAGATAGAGGAAGATGATTATGAAGAAGAGGAGAAGAAAAGAATTTAAATTAACACACACTGCATGACATAACTATAAAATATAAGAAAATATATCCTCTAATAAAACTGTAAAATTTAAAATTAAAAGAATGATTTTACAACCTTATAAATATTTCAGCTGTTTGCTAATATTTCAATTTAGTTGACAGACAAATACACTTGAAACATCCTGTTATTGTGTTTTTTACAGCTCTGCTCATTTTCTTTTCTAATATTCATTGAAATGTTATGGCGATGGAATGAGAAATCTAGCAACGTCCCAAGAGTGCTTGAAATCAGAACTCAAAATCAATATGTAATCTCATATGAAAACTTTTAAATTCAGAAGTTTATTTTTTCAGGGCCATGTTTAGGCATGTGCAAATGTGCAACTGCACAGAGAGGAAAAATTGTTGTGGCTGCATAATTCCGAGGGCAGCCAAATTTTATAGTAGTAAAAAATTGTAATATATTTAGAGGGAACATTAATTAAATATCTACACAGGGGCATCATACATCACAAATATGGGCCTGTATACTCTTGTCTTAATGCTTGGATTCACAATGTTAAAATTCATGTAATTAAAATTCTGAAATGTTTTAGTTTGCTAAGTCAGCCTAACCTAAAATGATAGCAGACAATTTCCACGAAGTAACGGTCACCAGCATGATACTGATCTCATCCCCTTGAGTCCCATGATACTGATCTCATCCCATTGAGTCCCATGATACTGATCTCATCCCCTTGAGTCCCATGATACTGATCTCATCCCCTTGAGTCCCATGATACTGATCTCATTCCCTTGAGTCCCATGATGCAGATCTCATCCCCTTGAGTCCCATGATACTGATCTCATCCCCTTGAGTCCCATGATACTGATCTCATCCCCTTGAGTCCCATGATACTGATCTCATCCCCTTGAGTCCCATGATACTGATCTCATCCCCTTGAGTCCCATGATACTGATCTCATTCCCTTGAGTCCCATGATACGGATCTCATCCCCTTGAGTCCCATGATACTGATCTCATTCCCTTGAGTCCCATGATAATGATCTCATTCCCTTGAGTCCCATGATACTGATCTCATTCCCTTGAGTCCCATGATACTGATCTCATCCCCTTGAGTCCCATGATACTGATCTCATCCCCTTGAATCCCATGATACTGATCTCATCCCCTTGAGTCCCATGATACTGATCTCATCCCCTTGAGTCCCATGATACTGATCTCATCCCCTTGAGTCCCATGATACTGATCTCATTCCCTTGAATCCCATGATACTGATCTCATCCCCTTGAGTCCCATGATACTGATCTCATTCCCTTGAGTCCCATGATACTGATCTCATCCCCTTGAGTCCCATGATACTGATCTCATTCCCTTGAGTCCCAACTGGTCAAGAATATGAGACAAGCA